TCTATATTTCGTCAACTTGAACCTCATAGAGCATCACTCGAAAGCAGCTCGGGTGTTATTCGATGCAGCACCTTCTCCTCTTTCAGAGACATGTCTTTTGTTTCTGATTCGTAAACTTTTAGAGGGCAAAATCGACAAAATTCATGTTTTTGATGGCGCCCCCAAGATGTACCCGAAAAATTCAAAATCTGATATTTCGAACCTGGAAACACTCATTTGTCTTGTAAAATTAGTAATAAATCTTAATCTATCTTTAAGAGTATCAAGAACTGAGAATTTCTTAGAGTTTGACGAGTCTTCGTCTGTTATGGGTCTGCTAAAATTCGGTAGTGTTGTTTAAAATTTTGTCAAAAAATCATGGAGAGCTCTGGGAAGGAGAAAAAAGTTGGTTTATATCCTACTTGGTTTGCTCTATCCGCAGGTTACTTGGAGTTCTTCGGAGAATCAGTACAAGAATTTAGAAAAATAGCGAAACTTGACCTTGGTAAAAAGTGTGGGTAGCAGTTTTTGGTAATTTTCTGAGAGCTCGCTCGTTAAACTGCAATATAAAGATAAACATTTGAAAGAGCATAAAAAACTGCATCGAATGCTTCCAAGATCTTCTAAAGATGTCTGTTCTGCGGACCGTGGCGATTGTTTGAAAAAAGCGAAAATACTTTCGGGACGACCTAATATACAGGGTGTCCGTAAAGTATGTGTACACTGTTTGATCGTTAATATCTTTCTTCCCAACAAGTCTTTTGCCTTGCTTCAAACACCGTTTTGTAGAGCTGGCTTCAACTTTGATGTGCAGTATGGAGCGAAACACCCAGCTTTCTCCGTTACTGTAGGATTACGGTAGAAGCTTTAAAGAGGGTTTTGAGCCATTGAAGGCATATTTTGCCTCAGAAAGGAAACAAAACAGCCTGAAAGCTTTAACACTAGGCTAATTAGAGTTGTTGATTCTAACTATAAAGTTCCCCACTTATTACGATGCTTCATTGAAGAGTTATGCCGGGTAAGAGTTAGCGGCCATTTTTTCAATGATCCTAAAAAGTGCGGTTACACCATTTAGAAAGCTTCGCAATCTTGTGAGTAGTTATTGAACTCAGCGTCCATAAAAACCCTATTATACAAGTTTTTACATTTTTTTTAAATTTTGAGACGGCAGCTTTTTCCACATTGACACCATATGTTTCAAGTTTTTACCGTAATCCTACAGTAATCAAGACCGATTGGTGATTCGCTCCACACTGTAAATCTAAGTTGAAGCCAGCTCTACAGCCGAAACCCCCTTCACCTGGGGAGAGCCCGGCTCCCCTTGTCGCACCTATGCACGTGTCATCATCAGCCTTTTCACATACATTGGCAAAAAGTCGCCCTAATGCAGTGCCCTCCCCTGGTCGTCCCCAAAAGATGCACCAGATTCGTCAATCAGGGTAGGAAGTCTCATATTACCTTTTACTAATACTTCGAACGCGAAAATTTTCTTCGAGATCTTTTTTAGAGCAAAAACAGAAATTTTCCGGACATGTAAGCATACTGTATCATAGAGCTCATCGAGGATAACAATCAGATAGTGGTTAGTCACAAAAAAACGCAACCTTGAATTTTGGTTTGCTTCTTCTAAAAAATAACTTCTGCTTTTCCTTTCTAAAGCGTATTTCTCAATATGGAAACCAATTCAAGGCATCCCAACAAAGCTGTTGGGATAAAATGGATGCTCTTTCCCATATTCTATGCATCGGACGCATGCTGGTGGGTTTTTTGGCTGAAAATTCCTGACAGTGCACATGACTCTACCTGCACCTCACCACTGACACCGTTTACAGGCTTGTAGCGCAGCCGTCAGGCACTCCACGAGCCTTTACTTAGGCTCAGTTGAAAGGGCGTGACGTGCTCGACACGATATTATGCAAGTAAGTTGAGTTTAAGCAGTCCCGAAGATTTCACGTGACGAGCCTTCACTACAATCCCTCTAAGGATGCGCTTTTTCACCCCATCCGCGAAATCTCCGGGACTCCGGGACCCGGGAACTCAACTCATTTGCATACCATCGTGTCGAGAATGTTACCCCCTTTCGAATGAGCCTAACTGCAGGCTTGTAGAATGCCTGACGGCTGAGCTACAAATCTGCAAAGCGGTGCAAGTCAGTGAGGAGGTACCGGTAGGGTCATGTGCACGCACTGACAGGAGTCATTTTCAGCCAAAAAACCCACCAGCACGCGTCCGATGCATAGAGCATGGCAGAGAGCACCCATTCCATCCGAACAGCTTTGTTGGGATGCCTTGAGTTGGTTTCCATGTTAAGAAATATGCTTTAAAGTTAAAAGTAGAAGCTATTTTTTTAGAAGAAGCAAAACAAAATTTAAGCTTGCGTTTTTTTGGAAGTAACCACTACCTGATTGTTATCCTCGATGAGCTCTATGATATATTATGCTTACCTGTCCGGAAAACTTTTGTTTTTCCTCTAAAAAAGATCTCAAAGAAAATTTTCGCGTTCGAAGAATTATTGTCCGCGATATTGTGACGCGCCTATTTCCGTACTTTTTCTAGAAAATTATTTTTAAGATTTTTAGATGACATGTTTTCCAGAGAGCGTAGTTTATGGGTTATAGTTCTTGAAGAGCTCTATCACTTCATGCAATCCAACCATTTTTCATCCTTGTTTTTCATCCGAAAACGAACGTTGAAAAAAGGAGAGCCACTTGTCCGCAACTTTTTGGCGATCACTGTATAAACAGGGTGTCCGTAAAGTATGTATACACTGTTTGATCGTTAATATCTCTTTTCCCAAGAAGTCTTTTGCCTTGCTTCAGATACCATTTTGTAGAGCTGGCTTCAACTTAGATTTCAATATGGAGCGAATCACCCATCTGTCTTCATTGTTGTAGGATTACGGTGGAAGCTTCAAAGAGGGGTTTTGAGCCATGAAAAACCATATTTTGCCCCAAAAAGGAAACAAAACAGCCTGAAAGCTTTAACACTAGGCTAATTAGAGTTGCTGATTCTAACTGTAAAGTTCCCAACTTATTATGATGCTTCATTGAAGAGTTATGCCGGGTAAGAGGTAGCGGCCATTTTTTCAATGTTCCTAAAAAGTGCGGTTGCAAAGTTTACAAAGCTTTGCAATCTTGTGAATAGTTGAGTATTGAACTCAGCGTCCATAAAAACCCTATTTCACAAGTTTTCAACTTTTTTTGAAAATTTTTGACACGGCAGCTCTTTCCACATTGACACCATATGTTTTAAGTTTCTACCGTAATCCTACAGTAATGAAGAGAGGTGGATGATTCATTCTATAATGGAAATCTAAGTTGAAGCCAGCTCTACAAAACGGTACTTGAAGCAAGGCAAAATACTTCTTGGGAAAAGAGATATTAATGATCAAACAGTGTATACATACTTTACGGACACCCTGTATACATACGGGGAGTCCCAAAAGTATGTATACACTATTTAATCGTTAATATCTTTCTTCCCAACAAGTCTTTTGCCTTGCTTTAGGTACCGTTTTGTGGAGCTGGCTTCAACTTAGATTCACAATATGAAACGAATTTACCGGTCGCTCTTCATTACGTAGGATAACGGTAGAAATTTCAAGAAGGGTTGTGAGCCTTCAAGGGCCCTATTTAGCCTCAAAAAGCAAACCGAACAACCCGAAAAGTTTTATACAAGGCCAACACAAGCCGATTAAACCAAATATGATGTTTGCACTTTAACTTAAGTTAATAAGTTATGCCAGGTAAAACGCAATAGCTGTTTTTACAAGACCCCACAAAATCATGATTACACCATTTTAAAAGCTTTGCAAACTCGTGAAAATTGAACAATAAAATCAGCGAGCTAGATAACCCTAATACATTACTATTCAAATTCTTTTGAAGTTTTTTTGAAACACGGTAAATCTGTAATGACGGTGTAAGCTGAAAGTTTCTACCGTAATCTTACAGCTCAGACAGCGGATAGGACCCCTCCGCCGGAGAAATGGCAGGGTCGCGGCGTTTCCCTAGCGGTGGGTCTCCCATTTGTCCGGCGGAGCCCTCCCATTTCTCCGGCGGAGACCTCCCATTTCTGCTCCGGATACCTCCCATTTTCTGCTCCGGAGACCTCCCATTTTCTGCTCCGGATACCTCCCATTTTCTGCTCCGGATACCTCCCATTTTCTGCTCCGGAGCCCCCCAATTTTGTGCGCCGGAGCCCCCCGATTTTGTGCTCCGCAAGTCTGCCGCGGCATACTGTAATTAGCCCTAATTAAAGGCAGCTTCCAGGCAGATCTGGACCTATGGGGCTTTTACATGGAAAGTACTTTTGGGGCCCTAACTAAGGCACTGCCGAAGCAGCAGCTCAGGTAGTGCTCCAATGGCTGAGATATTCCCCTCGAAACAGACCCCCGCGAACGTATTCGCATGGATTCATGGCAGTTTCGCGCCAGGATCCACGCTTTGCGCCATGAATCCATGCGAAACACGGTCGCGGGGTCCAGTTTCGAGCAGAATATCTCAGGCGTTACAGCACTACCTGAGCTGCCGGTTGGGTAGTGGCTTAGTTAGGGCCCCAAAAGTACTTTCCATATAAAATCCCCATAGGTCCAGACGTGCCTGGACGCTGCCTTCAAGCTCCAAACCTCAATTTTGTCTCTAAACCCCACCCAAATTAGCCGAATAGGACCCTCCCTCCCGGGTAGGAGTTCAGCGCGACCCTCACCCCTACTCTACCCCCTCCCTCTCACCCCTAGCGTTTGTGGATAGAAGATAGAAGAAAGAACGAAGAGATAAGACATTTATTTCAAATTTTTCAAACTTCTTCGAAAAATCATCTTATATCGTAAATCATTTCACACCCACTGGTGTAAAAGAATGAACCTTTCCAACCAAACAACGGTTTGTGGAACAGTTTAAATTGCAGTCGCAGTTGGCCCATATTATCTATTTGCTTGCATATGTGAAGAACGAATTGTTCTCCACTGATGTCATCGGGAACAGCGCCAAGATTGAATTTGTTATTTTGATGAGCCAGTGCTAGAGATGCTCGTCGTAAATCGCGCTCCTCATCTGCTCCCTATCCCTATCACGCTCCTCATCCTTGACCGTGTAATAATAATCATCAGCAAAACCCTGAATGAGAAAGAAAAATAATAGGTTCATTCCTCTTAAGTGCTTACCTGCTTGTAAGTTGGCCTGAAGCCCATCTTCGCAAATGTTTTGTTAAGTGGTGTTCCACTTCCAGACAAAACTTCTCGGCTCAACTCGGCGAAAACATCATCCATACACTGAAGTCAAATTCACCAATATCAAATCTAGAGTTATTGACTTACCTTGAACGACGAAGATTTTGTGAACATTCTCGGATTGTGGTTGATGATCGAATTTGCTTTTGCTGTTTCCACAAAATAACAAAATAAGCAGGTGTGAAGCAAGAAGTGCGAGTGCAAATTCTCAACTATAATGCAATAATTTTCACTCAGATAAATGAATTGTAGAGAGCATAGAAGCATTTTTGAACGGATTGGATTAGCGACATTTGGCAAATTTTAGCACCAATTTTGCTATTTGAACTTGGTGATGCATGTAAAAGAGGATGATTGCTCTGCGAAAAGACATCTGCAAGGTTAGAAAGATGCAAATGCAAAGAAATACGACAGCGAAGAGAGGAAAGGTGCTCAAAACAAGTCATCAAAACGATAGTACTCCTATTCCCATCTCCTTTTATCCGAAAAGTTAGACCCACAGCTGAATTCGCAACTAAAAAACTGACAATGCCTATGACTACTTTGATTTTTGAGTCGAACATTGTGTAAAAGAGTAGATGAATAGAACTGGGAAACATTATAACCAATAGCATTTTGATTACATAAGCAGAATGGTACAGGAACAGTAAATCACAAGTAAATATCACCCACCAATGTTGCCTGCACCTCCTTGGTCGGCAGAGAAAGTTGCATCACTTGGACGTATGGAAGATATATCGGAAAACCTCGGTTCAGGAACATTGTAAGGTAACTTTGGAGGATGCTTAACCTTCTAAAGAAAATTTTAAGCTAGAAAATGTGTGAAGTTATACAAAAAGATCTTACTTGTGCGCTAAAGAGCCGCGACGAATCCAGTTTCGTGCTTCCTTCCATAAAGGAACGCTCCGTCCTTGCAGGGTCAATCTTTGGTGTTGAGAAAGGACCTTCTTTTTGCCATGTACCTGTAATATCGTGGCCAAGTTTTCAAGTATTGAAAAAAACTTAAACTACAAAATTCTTCAGGGTTCGATCAACCATCATCGCTGTTACCGCTGCTACTGATGTTAGACGATGGAATGATCAACATTACATTACATTATTATTCTTATTTCTCCAAATGAGTACTCAGCGACTGGTGAGGACAGCGTATAACAGTAGGAACAGCGTTAGGCCCGAATTTACGCGATTTCATCGTCGCGACTGATCCCGACAAAACAACTAACATATGCATGCCGATCTTCTTGCATTTCGGTTGTGATAGTTTTCCAACACGACTAATCGTGAACAACTATCACAACCGAAAATACGAGAATATCGGCATGCAATGAACGGCAAAGTGATTCATCGGTGGAGATAGCATTAAACGGATTATTTAGACGATACTTTCATCACAACAACACTAGATAGTTACACTAGATAGATAACCTCATTGTTTCGAAAATCCAGAATTAATCACAAAAACCACTCCATCAATAGTCTACGATGTCTCAGCAAGTCGGAAAGAGCCAAACACTGAAGGTGATTGAGTGCAAGCGCACGAAAATTTGAAACATAAACCTGAAAACGAGGAACTTACAACAACATAAACGCCAACGCGACGAAGAGCAACGCGGAAAAGAAAAAAACGGTAAAGAAACGCGCAAAAACAACAAAATCAAAGAAACGGCGACTAAAATATGGACAAAGAGCGTAAACAGAGGACTCATCACCGTGGAGTTAGACGTTTGCTTGCTACGCGCCAAATCGATACGCAGCCTGCTCCGGATACCTCCCATTTTCTGCTCCGGAGACCTCCCATTTTCTGCTCCGGATACCTCCCATTTTCTGCTCCGGATACCTCCCATTTTCTGCTCCGGATACCTCCCATTTTCTGCTCCGGAGGCCTCCCATTTCTGCTCCGGACCCCTCCCATTTTCTCCGGCGCGGCTCTTCCAAATTTGGCGGACTCGCGCTGGGCAAATTTCTCCGGCGCGAGTCCGCCAAATCTGGCAGAGTCGCGCCGGAGAAATGGCGGACCTTTGCAGCAGGGCCGGAGAAGCCTCCCACTTGCCTGCCAGTGATGTCACCGCGACGGACCGCCCATTTGCCCCTCTCTCATTGGTCAACTGGGTCCGGCGCGACTCTGGCAGATCCGGACTGTCCGGCGGAGGGGTCCCGTCGATTGTCTGAGAGTAGTGAAGGGCAATCCGTAATTCGCTCTATACTCTAAATCTAAGTTGAAGCCAGCTCTACAAAATGGTACCTGAAGATGGGCAAAGACTTTTTGGTAAAAGAGATATGAACGATCAAACAGTGTATACATTTTTTTGGGACACCCTGTATATAAAACGCTCCTTCATAGATCATTCGTCCGTCAGTCTCCTCCAGTTTCTTAATGCAATCCAGTTTGAGCATAACAAAAATGCCATATCATACAAATTGAGAATCGTCTATTCTGCATGTCGTATAACCTAAGCACACCAAGTTCTAGCGAATTTGCAATTTTGATTCGCCATGACTAATGAAATGGTCATATCTGCAAACTATCTGACCTGTATTGAGAATTAAGATACTTTTTTAAGGACAAAACACACTACTTTGCATAAACTAACTTGTATAAATTAAAGACATGGCTCTGGTTTCACTCCAAGATGCAATCTTAAATATAGGAATTTGAACAGATCCAGTCCATAAAAGAGTCATAGTCAATAAAATCTCAACCATCATGTTTCCATTTTCGATGTCTACTAGTTGTTGGTCCCGGTTTCACCCGAGACTCTAAATTAGTTTAACAAAAATATTTTACTTACACTTTCAAACTTGCGAAAAGCGCGTTGAGACGAACTGCCGCATTCTGCCGGCCTCGAGGTTAAAGTGAGCTTCACCGCCTTGCTTACATGTTCATTGCAAAATGATTGATTAGAGCATGTTGAACTTTTACAGCGGCAAGTAAACAAATCAATAAATCAATAGAACTTCCCAGCCAATCGCTGCAATAAATAGCGCTGAACCACCTCCGGGGTCGAAAACATATGTGTGCAAAGTTTCAGTCCAATTGGCTTATTGGCCGGCGTTTCTATAACGAACGAGCAAATGAACGAACGATTGCAACAAAGCTGAATTAGCAACGAAGACCTATTTGAGTATGATACTGATGATGATTACATAATTATGAGTTTACAAGAAGGATTATTTCAGCAAAACTGTTTTGGATGCAAAATCTGGAACTTACAGCACACTTGAATTACTGTTTTGTTTTTTAGTTTTTGAATTTTCCTTCCTTTCTTTTTTCTGTTTCTCTTCTTTTTACTTACTAGTTTACGATCTTCCTTCACTACTGATGAGTTTCGGGAAGATCGTATACTTTGCCTAATTTCCGTATAGTCAGTAGGAACGAAACGGAATTAGGTAATTTTTTTGTTTTTGTTTATTGCTGCCTAAATTCTATCTGATCTTTGTTGCTTTGTATTCGAAACGTTCTAGAAGATTTTCGATTTTGATCGTGAAATTTTTTGTAAAATTGAGAAGCGTTTCTTGCTCTTTCTAATGCATGCTGGAATCCAATAAAACCTTCACATAGAAACATTTCCGTGGCCTTTTCAGATGAGATGTATACCATTACACTCGTCTTGGAGCGCTGATTCCGAATCTGACTTCCCTTTCTGCTAAACGTTTCTCTGAAAGAAGTTATGAAGAATTTTTGCGCCAAAGGAGACGTGGTCGTAATGCCAAAACCGCCGCTAAGATGTGGTGTAGTGGCTAGTGCGATAGCTTCGCAAGTTAATGTAGGTTTAGGTTCGAGTCCTTTTGTGTTTTTCAGTTTTGCATTGCCTCAATCAAGCTTCTTTTTGAAAGTTAAGCATCCTCGGCCGCATTTCTCTTAAGCGACCAATGATGCGAAAATCCTTCATAACTTCTTTCAGAAAAACAATTAGCAGAAAATGAAGTCAGATTCGGAATCAGCGCTCCAAGGCGAGTGTAATGGTATACATCTCATCCCAAAAGGCCACGGACGCCAAGTATCGTTCCCTCGTCAATCGAACGAGAATAAAGCCTAAGATTTCATCTGACGAAAATACAGTCTCTTCTAAAAAACATACCTTTGGGAAAATCTCCACAAAGCGTTTGCTCAAGTTGGGCCCTTACAAGGTCACCGAATAAAGGTGTGAGAGCTAGCATATGCACAAAATTACTTTCATGTGAAAATCCTTTTCTTGCAAGCTTTGTTTTCGAGAGGTAATGTTTCATATAGATCACGCAGAACATCCTGTGTCAGAGGCAATCGATATGGCGAAAATAAATGATGACACAAAGCAAGAGCCGTCAGCGATCACTTTGCATCATTCGCGGCAAGCGCAAAAATTACATAGTTTGAGAAGGCACGTATAGGCTGTACCAGCCAGCATCGGTCATGCGACGTGGCGCTTGCGGCAACTTGCGACGGTGTGGTATGATGCGTGCGAACTCTGCTACGCGTTGAGGCACGTCGCGTGCGACGGTGCGTCGTCGCAAGTCATACTGGCGCAGGACCGATGCGGCTGATACAGACTATATGCAAGCACTACAGCGAGAACAAAAGCGGTTTCTCTATTTGCTCAAAGAATCTTTGGCTTTGAAGACTCTCTGCCTTATTTTAAAACTCTCGCTGTCTGTTGATGAGTGCTAAGGTGCCTGTCAGATAGATTGATTTAGATTCAGATTCGTAGGTCTTATGATCGTTTGATAGCCAAAAAGCTTACTTAATCCGCAAACTTAAACTCTTGAAATAAGGTTGTGAAAAAACCACAATTATTGAATTGAAACTTAGAAAACGAGCGATTCTTACGTAGCAACTTAGTATACGGAGTATCCCAGAAAGATGTGCCTAATGTTTGATTGTTAGTGACTCTCTTGTGATGTCTTTCAAAACTTCAAGTACCATTTTGTAGAGCTGGCCCAGCTTAGATTCACAGTATGGAGCGAGTTGAGAATTTATTTTCATTACTGTAAGAACACGCTGGGAATTTGCAGCGTCTCATACAGTCGAAGAGATACCTCCGGCGGGCAAATGGCAGTCTGCCACTTCGGCTCTGAAGGCTCCGGAGCCCTGCCATTTCACCCATTTTAGTGCTCCGGGGCTCTCCCAAATCTGGCTCATCTCCAGAGCAGAAACTTGCGCATCCCGGAGATGGGTCCCATTCGTTCACCGTGACGTCACCATGACGTCACGGTGACGTACAAGCAGGCGAATGGGACCCCTCTCCGGGGCGCGCAAATCTCTGCTCCGGAGGTGCGCCAGATTTGGGAGAGCCCCATAGCACCAGAATGGATGAAATGGCAAGGCTCCAGAGCGCTCCAGGGCGCGAAGTGGCAGACTCGCGCCATTTGACCGCCGGAGGTATCCCCGACTATCTGAGATATGGTTGGATAAAAATTTCCAAAAAAGCTAAAAAATTGTGTGACAAGGTTTTCATGCATGCTGTTTTCGATAGACAAATTTTTGCATTCCGCAAAGCTTTTTAGATGGCCTAATTAGATTTTTGACGAATAAGATCAATTGTTGTAATATATCTGGCTTAACTTATGAAAAATGCGTTACGGTGAACAGCAAGTCTTATGTTAGGAATCAGCAATCTGATTAACCCAGTGTAGGAACTTTCACCATTTTTGGTTCTAGCTTAGGAGTGAACGTTAATGGACGTTATTTGAAACCCTCCTCAAGGTTCCTACCGTAATCCTACAGTAATGTAGAGGGTTTTTCATTCACACTACTCACTGTACTGAAAAGCTAAGTTGAAGCCAGCTCTACAAAATGGTACTTAAAACTTCTCGAAAGAAACAGCAAGCACATCTTTTTGGAACACCCTGTATTTGACCTCCACATTGTTCCTCATATCATTAACAAGAAATTTTTCTACATTTATGAGGAAAAAATAGAATATATTTATTGTTGATCCTGCTTTGCATTCATCGTAGACGAGTGATAAAAATTGAGGTTTCTATTGATGTAATTAGCTTACATTTTTTAAATGGGCAAGGTGAACGGTGACGGCTACAGCATCTAGTTTACCAGAGGCAACAATCCAGGGCATCGCAGGCTCTCGTCTAACTACCATCAACATGGGAACACCAGAGCTCCCAGATTTCTGGTCGGGGGTGGGGGGGGGGAAAGAACAAGAATTTTTTCGATTAAAGGTGCGTGGCGTTAGTCATTGAGCGCACAATATGGTCAGGTCAAAAGACACATGTAAGGGGAGCTGAAGCATAGTTTTGCATACACGGTCTTTCGACTACCGTTTTACTTCTAGTTAAGGTGAATTCTACCCTTGTAACTCTGACTAGCTTTTCCATTGGCTTTTTCTCGAATAGTACTTCAAACCTTTTGCGGACGTGTGAGGGGATAGATTCTGATGAATTCGGCTCTGACGAAGGCGATAGCGCCGAAACGCAGTCCATTGCGTTACAATAAACTGTGTTGCCAGCTTGATAAATCTCTTATCAAATGACCGCAAATCCCGGTAAGAGCTGCATACTACAGAACACTGCTTCTTGACATCAAAACTCAATGGATTATCGCATAACGAGAGCTGTAGAGATCAGGAGAGCTGCAGACACATCAAATGGTAGAAATTGAAGACGAAAAGCGTGTGAGTCAAGCACTATTGACAACCTTTCCAAACCTGCAAGATAGAGCGACGATCCTGGGCGAGCTTGCAAGATCGCACCCACTAAGTGGCAAATAACACTTTCACTGTTTCTAATACGTCCTTATCCTTGTTTCGAACAATGCTCACTGTCTAAATATATGAGCTATATGCATGAAGTAAAATAGACGAGCTTGTGGCCTACCACCATGATTGCTGAAATTGTAGACGATATCATTGACCGCAGAGTGATGCCACGAAACGCAGGTGACGATGATGAATCATGTGCAGCTCGGATTACATGTGCTACAGTCAAGAACACAGCAATAGCAATAGAGCAAGCAAAGCAATGCCCCTCCGGGTTGTTACCACCGTACGTATGCGGCAAAGTCTGGCTAACCCTAACGCACACAATTTTTTAAGACGACTGAGTCACATGCAGCGTTGAACCAGTCTTGCAGTCTACCCGTTTCTGTTGTCTTAGAGTGCCTTTATGTAAATGTCATAGCATTTGAATCGGGGTTATCCTTATTTATTTTAACTACTCTGTAGAATGTGTGTTTCACCGAACATAGGGGAGACAGTGTTGTGCAACTCAACAATTCAGCAAGTTTCATGCGGGAAGCTAAAGTTCTATCAGTATTTCTGCATTATAGTAACCGGATTATGTCCACCGAGTATTCATTTAACAAAGTGCCGAATACAAAATGAGAGAGCATTAAAATACGAGTCTCATAGGATATGACTGGTTTCATAAAGAGCCAGGATAAGTGCTCAAGGTTTTAATTTTTTTTTGTAGACCAATGGCGTAAATAGAAATTCGTTGCATTGAACATTCTATCCGAAACCCGTTTAGGCAGTGTGTTGCTGAGTCACGCACAGAAGATTGATTAAAGTTGTCATCAAGTAGAGACCGATTGAGAGTTGCCGGAGCGGCTGTCGTCGTTCAGGTTAATTTTCACATTGATTTTCTAACCCCCTAACCACTCTCTTTGCAAAAAGGGTAAAACAGCTTGCATGTATGCTTTTTCCTTTGCTGTCTCAGAAACACTGAAAAGAATCATGTGTCTTTGTGACTTGATCGCATACATTTCTATTGATTATTCGATTTATTCTTGAAATGTGTGCAGCTCATTTCTGCAAGCCGCCCGCTAATTCTTGAGACTTATATTGATTTAGTATGGGTACATCCCTAAGTTGGATAACAGTTCTTTGATTTTCATTTTAATGCTTTCTGGTTACCTTTTATGCACCCTCTCCTCGCACTTCATGCGGAATCCCAGATGAAAACTCTATGGATTCCAGTTCTTCACGAATCACGCAATGTTGATTCTGCTATTGATTCCACTTGCAGTTGACGCAGAAGATCTGTCTGACTCCCAGAAATGTTTCTACAGCTGCACGGCTGAGTGTCTGAGTGGGGACAAGGTGCTGCTGTGTGTTGAGTAAAGTTTTCCAATTTGTACCAATACCTAATAGTCGACATATCCATGTGATGTGCCTTTGTAGGGTTATCAACTATACTCTCCGAATGCAAAAGCATGTGCGCTTTCTATGCTCATCTTCAAATCAGTGCGAATAATGTGCGCTCACAAGTATAGTTCACTAGGTACAATAAATGGAGTATTTCTTGAGCATTCCGCATAATCGCTTTCCTTTATGACACTGTTTGCCGAACAGCTTTGTGCGGACGCACCAGATACATTTTCATTTGCTTCCGGAAGTGAGTCATCAACGCTTCCGTACTAAGATTATAAAATATTAGGTTGCTCAAAAGTTTTGTTACACTTAACTGAAAAAAAATCCTCACAACTTTGTCATATGATTTTTCCTTATCTCCAAACTATTTGTGACGTTGCAGTTTTTTATATTTACTCACACATAAAAAAATCAAATTCGAATTTTTTTTTGGTTATTGAAGAGCTTGAACTTCCAAATTGCCCATTGTTATTACTACCAATGCTTCCAGAAGTCTTTAAAAACTTAAAAAGTTGGAAAAGAAGGATAAGAGGCTTTTTTTGAATAAAGAAGAAAATGAAGGTCGGAGTGCCTCTATAGAGTTGTCATTAATTCACTGTAAATCATGTGGTGAGGGCATGAATGGTGCCAGTAGATAGCCCTTTATTTCTTTCCCATATATACCAAATATGAGATCTTGCCGAATTTTCTAAAGTTTTTCAAAAGAAAATGTAACAGAACTTATGTAACACCTAATATGTTGACGTCTAGATTTTATTAGGACATAACAGAGTTTTTTTTCTAGTGAAAGGACAGGAGTCAGTCATGCATTCCTTCCTGAAAATTTTTTGCAGTTTTTACGGGCTCTATCCCGAAGTATTGACCCAGAAAGGAAATTGGGTGGAGGAACGAACACCTCAATTAGGCACCGCCTCCGCGGACTGCTGGTCCTAACACGATGCACAATAGTAGGACGAAATGACCAGCAGTCGGCGGAGGCGGTGTCTAACTGAGGTGTTCGTTCCTCTACCTAGGGGAATTCAATTCAAGAAAGCCTTTAAATCTGGAAAATATTTTGGAGATAGATTGCAATTTTCACGAAAAACAAGTCACTTGCACAATTTTACAACTCATGTAGGCTACTTTTAAAATTTTGAACTTTTTTCTCACAGATTCCCAACGCAATTCCCATTAGTCTACGCATAGTGTAGTGCACTGTAGTGCAGTATTTTGCATCGAACTATGGTGGAGTATCGCATAATGAAACATAATGTATATCATCTAATTAGGTATTGCAATGTATTAGGTTGCAAAGAAAGTTCCCGGGCATTTGCGAAAATTTTTTAAAGTAGCTGTAATTCAAGCATATTGATTCTTTTTCGAAGCTACAAACTTTATAGCAAAGACAATTTTCAACATATGTCTTGCTGTCTTCTCAGCACCTCACTGCGGTCCACCAGCATGCGGAGAAAGGAAAAAGGTAGTGGGCCTATTTGTGCAGATTTTCTCAGGCATAATGAGAGCTGGAGACCAGATGCTGTAGCTATATAGAGGTCTGCTGGGGCTGTTATGGGGATATTCCTGTTTTGAAGGATCACCTGCAAAAAAGTTTTTCCCAGAAAGTTTGAAAAAATTTTTTGCCCCAAAAATACACCATTTTCGAGTAAGTGATTTTGAAGTCTTCTAGTTCTGTACAGAAAGGACCAAATCTTTGTTTATTAGGAATGTTGCTGGGGTAATGTCTTGCACATCTTTTGGACCCATCATCCAGGCGTGGCGATCCCTGCAGAAGCGACGCCAGCTGCGAAAAAAGTTGCAGTCAGAGGCCAGTTTGTAATTTCTGGCTCAAATCGCAAAACTCGAGTACACGGCGGGTCAGAATTTGACAGAATTCTCAATCAGTTCACTCATGATTTGAACGAAATTTTTGATTGCACAAAAAAAGGCCCTAAGAAGAAAAATTGTGGAATTTTTGTGGTTGGAAAGATTTCCTTTCTTGATGTGCAGATCAAACAAGTCTTGTCATCGATAAAAGTCAGAAGGTTTGTTGAAAACTTCAGGCTCCTCTCTACTGAACAGTATAAAAAACTTGATGTCAAAGTCCGAGCGGGCGCCGAAAAAATGCGTTTGAAAATGAAATTTCCAAAAGTACTCGGGAACTTTCTTTACAACCTAATGGTTTATCGGTTAACGCATTGACGACCGCTTGACACACATGGTGTATGGAAAAACTCACTCCAGGAGTTCTCTTTTGCTGGAGCTAGGAGTAACCTCCATTTAATTTGCCAGCTTCAAAGAGCTACTGCAGCTGTACGGTTGTGGCAGTATTCATTTGAAAATTGGAATGGTGACAGACTTTGTTCCTAACAAGCAGACAGATCAAAATTTTCACGGTCGTCAATGTGTTAAGAATACGGAAATTCGATTTGGACAACGTAGTTGCTGCGATGAGTTTATGTGCATCAAGTTAGCAATATGATTGCTCATAGTGCTTGAGGCTGCACCAAAGCACGCTTTTACAATCTATTTACATCCTCCTCAATGTTACGCCGCGACAACGACAGCATTAACATTTAGCGACACTAATGATCCCATTGTATGTATACACACGTAACTCTGCAAGTATACATATAATTACAGGGTGAGTCAAAAGTCTCGGAGCCTAGTACTTTTTCATACAAAATGAGAAGGGAAGTATCTAGAAACAAAAAATTTGGCGCACATATAAATCAAACCATCACGAATAGACCACAGTTCTTAAATTTCAAAATTTCCTTTTTTGGCTTCCACGCGGCTCTACAAAATCCTGGCAAGTCCACCTGTCATAGCACGCAGGTAGTCCTAATGAAATTCGCCCCACGCCTCTACAATAACTGCTTCTTTTACCTTGGCAAATGTGCAGCATGATAGAGCAAGCTTTTATCTACAACATACTTGCAAAAGAATTTTTTTGCGTTGCTTAGGAATAGAAATATTGAATTTTTGATTAGAGGCCTGTGTGCGTCGCATGCCGGAAATTTGGCTACAACTGCGCGAAGGAAAGCGGAAGATTATCATTAGAAAAGTATAAAAAGTGTTCCTTTGACCAAATTTTAATAGATTCTTATTTAGAAGACCTGTGCAAAGTATATAGCCTTAGTCTCAGCGTCTTTTGCATTTTTATAGCTGAAATTTGTTCCGAAGGCGGATGGCTGCGGCAATTAGATAACATTCGCAAACTTTTATTTTCCTCTCATGCAAGAACAGCTCCTGGCAAAAGCAAAACTATGAGTCAATAGCGCAAAGCCTCTTCTATATGGTATGCATCGAATTATTGTAAAATGTTAACAGCACCTCTAGCTATAGCAAATTTTGTAAATACTGAAAATTCTGGTTTTTTTCGCTCTGCAAAAGTAGTCGTTTGGTAATTTCTAAACTTAGAAAAATATATGGCACCCATTTTCAACTACTTAAAGTGTATTTTCTAGAGGATGACAGCAGCATCATTTGGCATAAATCTAAAATCAAAAACATCAATATCTTTGTAATTGCAGTAGTGCAAATTAGGTTCTCAGACTTTTGACGCACCCTGTACTTTGCATCTGTAATTATCACTTAAAGTTTTCGCGGATACTGATTTCAGTTTACAGAATTTCTAACACGGCTAAACGCTCTTTTCTCGAAATAATAATCAATATATATCCGTATAATCATCAATTGCCTTGTGCTCAAATTTACACGTGTGACAGCATGGTCACATGTTCGATAGAAGCTCTTGTTAGGAGAAACGGAGCCTACTAGCATATCAGCTACTTACCGTGTATGCACTCGCAGACATGTGCACATGTGTCACGAGAGTTAGTAGCTCCCGCGAAATACTGTGGGTTTCAGAACAGCACTGTACAGAACTGCTTGCAAAACTGCGAAAACCTGGGATTCTGTGTAAGTTGACGCTTGTCCATGCCATTCAAGTGAGACGGAATGCATTTTCAGGGAAAAACAGAAGAGAACTGCAGGAACAAGTGCGATGCTCTCAACTCGCCGCCTCTCGCTGCCGTCGATGAGCTTCGATGGGGAAAACAGAACTTGACCACAGCTATTGTCTTTCCCCCTATTAAGGAAGCCACATTCTACGTCATACAGTACAGAGTATCGCACGAAGTTCAAATTCCACCTGAAGGACTCGGTACGGTGAGCTAGCAGACTTCACGAAGTTTTTGTTTGGTAGCATTGCACATGAGTCGTTGTTGCTCTGTAGGTCCGCAAAAACTGTCAAAAAAGACAATAATTCTACTGATTATCACAGAAACACAAAATTTATTGAATGCAGGGATACTATTACCCTAAAATCCCGCCAATAAGTCCGGACTTATCTATTTTTTGACACAAAAAATTGATTTAAAAAAATCGCCCTCTGCGCTGCCAGAAGTCTAGCAGATCTGCTGCGGTCTGATGGGAGGATTCATCTGCTAGACTTCTGGCAGCGCAGAGGGCGATTTTTTATCAGTTTTTTTTGTGTCAAAAAATAGAGAAGTCCGGACTCATTGGCGGGATTTTAGGGTAATAGGATTTACATCACCAAAATTACTGGTAATGACAATAACTTCAAACCTTGATCTAAGAAGTGTAAATATTGAGAAATAATGAAGGGAGTCACATCAGTATTAACTTGAGAGGAAATGAATGTCACATTTCGAGGGTACCATTTGGCAGCAAAGCAAGTTCTGCTAGATGGATTCAAACAGCAGGAACAAGTTAACGTGAAATTAAGCCGAAATCAAAAAGATTTTCAGTGCCCCAAAATAAAAAAATCGTATCCTCTTCTAAAAAAATCCTACGGACCCAAGTTGCTCAAGGATATACACTTTACAACGGAAATGCACATGCATAATCGCTGCATTTTTTACATCCTACATGGCTAGGAATCGAAAGGACGAAAATATTCACGTTTCTTCAGCGATGCTGGGCTATTCCCACACAAGTATTAAGTCGTTTCATAAGTCCGTGGAGTTTTATTTTTGTAGCCATTTCTCAATGAAGCGGTTGTTTTAAGGTCACCTGTACCGTTCCAAAGAGCCAATCCCTCCTCTACAAGAACCATTGTTCGTTTTCGGAACGAATCTAAATCCCTTTGATTAACAACCTCTCGAAGCAAAGTTTTTTGAGAGGCAAAATTTGGCGATTTCGGCAACTGCACTTTCCGCATTTGGTCCGTATCCCGCAAAGTTATTGTCATATGTAGTAGTCGGGAAGGGTAGTAGCAAGCAAGCCTGGTATATTGACAAATTTGCAGCATGCCATATGCTCAAGACCGTTTAAACAAAGTCCCAAAGTTGTTGTCTTCAACTGCTGACGCTTGAGTTTTGCGCGTTGTTTAGCGACAGAATGTGTCGGTTCTCCTATCGGGCCTTGAGGAATGGATGGCTCTTTTAAGTGGTATAGATGTATGAGTACAAGCTCCGGCCAACATTTTACGTTTTTTCGAGATTTTTTGCAGTGGGGACTTCTCTGAATCGTACCAAGCGCAAAACATCTACACGCATGGTAAAAGTGCGCTTAATACTTTCTTAAGGCGTCCTTTTGGGTAAGGAGACTTTTATATGCATCGTAGTCCCATAAAAGTTGTTTTTTATTACTTATAACAAATTTAGATGATAAAATTCCACTTGAGACTCCGTATATGGATCCAAAGTTGCATGTGCCGAAATTCAAAGAAGGAGATTTAGGTTTGCTCCGAAAACGAACAATAATTTTTGTAGAGCAGGATTTTACTAAACTTTACAAGCATAACCATAAATTTTTAGCTTTTACAAGGGTTCGTACTCGAGAAACATCAAATTTGCACAAAAAGTTCGGAAAAAAAATCTAAATCTGAAGAGTGCACACTTCTACAACTTTTCAAACTAGAAAAGGTTTTGCTGAAAAGTTGCATGTAGGGATGCCGTCCGTGGGCGCGCGTTGTGTCCAGGGTCACATATTAAGCTACTAAGCTACGAATGACTCGATATAAAATACATACCAGTCCCGGTTTTGGAGGGGGGGGGGGTTGGGGATATTGCGGGATGCTAAATCTTCGCGAACCTCTAACCCCAAGATCCTAGAAAAAGGAGGCATGGAGGCAGCCACGTTCCCGAAAAATTTTTTACCCAATTTGTATTAGGTTGATGCGTAATTCCTGCACCCAAATAGGTGCAACCGCAATAACCCGTAACAAAGCTATATCCCAAATAGGATTCGATATATCATTAGATAGCGCAAACCTAGCTCTACAAGATAGTGCTAAAATGTCTACACCAGGTTTAATCCACGCGAAGTTTTGAGCAAACTGAAAAAAAACCATGCGTCCAGGAACCTTAAGACCAATCAAAAGAAAATTGTAACTTCGTTCAAAAAGCTCCTACAATTTCTTTCTTGCTTACGCGTAGACATTCCACGTAGGATATTTATCTCTGCGATTGCTGTATTTTTTTCTCAGCTAGACGATGAGAAAACGAAGTTCTTCATGTTTTTGCCAAATTAATGCTGAGATGTTCTAGCACTAACAGTTGTGTAGTACATGCCGTAAGCAGTGAAACTTTACATTTTCAGCCTTTTAGAACTGCTAGTTCACGAAAAATGACGAATATAACTCTCCTTATCCGAATTTTTCTTGCCTAGTTGCTAAAAATTCGTTATTTCTCGTAAACCAGCTGGCGTAAAGAGCTGAAAATTCACACTCACGCTTCTAAGGTCCTATAGTATGCAACTGCTAGTGCTAAAACATCTCAGCACTTATTTGGCAAAATCATGAAAAACTTCGTTTTCTCATCGTCTAGCTGAGAAAAAAATACAGCAACTGTATAGATAAAAGTCTTACGTGGAATGTCTACGCATGAGCAAGAAAGAAATTTTGTAAGAGCTTTTTGAACGAAGTTACAATTTTGTTTTGATTGGTCTTAAGGTTTTTGGACGCATGGTTTTTTTTCAGTTTTTGGCTTAAAACTTCGCGTGGATTGAACCTGGTGTAGATATTTGAGCACTATCTTGTAGAGCTAGGTTTGCGCTATCTGACGGTATGTCGAATCCTATCTGGGATATAGCTTTGTTACGGATTATTGCGGTCTTACCTATTTGGTGCAGGAATTATGCATCAACCCGATATTTTTGGAATTTTCAAGAATTATTAACAAGAAAATTATCAATTCTAATTTAGTAATTATTCACAAAAACAAGTTACAAGCACATGGGTCGTAACTTTCGGTAATGCGACCCATTCTCGGGGGGGGGGGGGGGGGAGAAACACCCCCCCTCCTTATTCTAAAATTTCTTGAAAACTATTGGCCCGTAGTAAAGCTCGATCAGTTGAGGTGAACTCAACTTATCCCATCAGTTTACCTTAGGTGAGGTGAACTGATCACCGTTTACGTTCCCATGCTATAAGATGGTCAAGTCAACTGATAGTTGACCATCCGTCCACCTGCCGCAGTCAACTCTTCCACATCAGTTCACGTTCAAGTCACCTCAACGTGAACGGATGTTAGAGTGATCCAAATAGTGTGTAGAAGAGGAGACGCAGACAAGAGGTGACTGCATCTAACATAAGTTGCTCCTGAGTAACTTACGATACACACAACTTTGCCAAAAAATGCAGAAAAAATCGGCGCAAAACTGCACAATACCGGCGCCCGAAAAGGGAAGGATCGATGAACAGCTGATTTTGGCGACAAAAGCAAGGATAAAAGTTTTCTTCTTTTTTTTGCAGAGCAATCTTAGTTTCTTGTAAAAACTGCTTTAGAAGAGAATCTACTTATTTATTACGTTTTATTTATGTTCCAAAAATTTCAGTTTTTCATGAATTCTCCGTCAAAATATGTCAGTTTTGTTTTATCTGTCCATTTGCTAAGTGATATCCTTGTTAGCGGTCATCATCGATTTTTTTCGACAGTGGCCGCTATCAAAGATTGTCCGGCAATGCAGCAAAAGTCGTGACGCTAGCCGGTGTTGAACCACGACCGCGCGCGTGTGATTCCAATCGCTTATCCGTTTGACCAGACCAGCTCAAGTGGTTGGTTTTTTGAGAACACATGTGGTTTTCATGTCTAGGAAGCGATCCACATCCAAATCAATAGCTCACTGGATGCTGGACTAAAGCGCGATGACCTCAACTCCGGTCCGCGTCGAGAGAGATGCCGGGATGGGGGGTTTACTACGGGCCATTGTAATTCGGTCCGCTAACTGGTACATACGCACATATATACACATAATTGGATGCATACATCTATACAGAGTGTCCCAAAAAATGTGCCTACTGTTAGATTGTAAATAACTCTCTTGTAACGAAGTGTTTCGAGATGCTCTAGGTACCGTTTTGTAGAGCGAGGTTGTACTTAGATTTGCAGTGTGGAGCGATCACCTATCGCTCTTCATTACTGTAGGATTACGGTAAGAACTTCCAGCATATGGAACCATTGTGAAATATACCACCTGACAAAATTTTTTTCAAAAAATCTAAAAAATCATGTACTAGGGTTTTCGCGCATGCCGATTCCACCTAACAACTTTTTACGAGTGTTTTCAGCGTTTTTGACGGTGCAATTACATTTTTGACAAATGCTGGGAATTGAGCTACTACGATTTACCGGGGATAACTTAGAAAAGAAGCATCACAGCAAAATGGAAATTTCAAATTCGAAATCAGCGGCTCACATTACCGTAGTGTAAGAGTTGGCTTGTTTGGTTTCGTTCCGAGGCAGAGTATAGCCTCCAAAAGCCTAAAATCCTTGTTGAAGTTCCTACCGTAATCCTACAGTGATGAAAAGCGATAGATGATTCTCTCCATACTGCAAATTTAAGTTTAAGCTCGCTCTACAAAACGATACTTAAGTCTTTTCGAAACAATTTCTTACAAGAGAGTTGATTACAATGAAACAGTAGGCACATTTTTTTGACACCCTGTACATCCATACACGGGGTGGCCGTTAAGTATGGGCGTTACAAGGCTAATATATCTTTTTGCTATTATCCTATCAAGACCGCCGATATGCTTGTAGCTTATGGACATCCTTTATATTGAGGTATATGGATAGCGCAAACTGATATCTTCTGATGCAGGTGGGGCGCCGGAGTCTGCTTTCACTTAAAAGGCCCTGTGGCGCTGTCACTCAGCACCATGTCTACAATACCGTATTTTATTTTAGAGGGGAGATGTGTGCATGTGCTGAAGCCCAGCTTTGTAGGATCTACACTTTGGGATACCTCTGTTTTTGTATGCAAAAATAATCCTACAAAATCTCGTCTTTCATTTGAACTTTGCAACTACATTTGGTTAAAAACTTTTCACAATAAATCGTACGCGTCTCTTTTACATACGCGTCCTTTGATAAGTTTGAGAAGGGTAATGTATCGTAGGCTAGAGACGGGTCATTATTTTGTTATTCAAATAATATCGCCTCCTCTTGCAATACTAGCATTTTATTTCAATACTAGCTGGCATACCCGGCTCCGCCGTATGTTCCGAAGAAATTTCAGAAATTCCAGAAGTTAAGAACAGAAAATTCCATTTCTTAACCGATCCGAACCAAACTTGGCACACATACACTTCGGGCCCCGGCGGGTGTCACAGTCCACTTTTCGTTATCGATTGATGTCGATTTTATCGATTTTTTGCAAAATTTGAGCTAGGGGGCTGGAATTTGGCAGGGGGTAAGTGAGCATGGGGATTCCGAATACAATATTATTAGGTTGTCCGAAAATTAATGCCCGTTTTGAATTTCAACCGCAATAAGTCATACACTTCTCACTTCTGAATAGGTTGCAAAGTACCATTCGATGGAGCAAAGCAAGCTCTACAAGATGGCCATTTTGCTTTTGCAACAGCTCTCTCCACCTCGAGTTTCGAGCCAAAAACTAAAAAGACTCAGCAGCCCGAAAAATCGAAAAAAATCGTAACTCAGTTCATAAAAATCCTACAAAAATTCTAACTTGCTCACGTAAACACTATCCACATAAAACATCTTTATACGCCTTTGCCGTATTTTTTTCTCTGTTAGAAATCAAGAAAACGGAAATTTTCATGCTTTTGCCAAAGTGGTGCTGTGTCGTTCCCACATAAGTAGATGTGTACTACTAATCTGTAGAAGTACAAAGGTAAATTTTCAGCTTTTTACAAGCTCTAGTTCTCGAGAAATTCGAATTTTAGCTTGGACCACCTGACCAGTAAAGGCTATATTCGATATTTCTCGAAAACTAAAGCTTGTAAAAAGGTAAAAATTTACGTTTGTACTTCTACAGATTAGTAGTACACATCTACTTATGTGGGAACGACACAGCACCACTTTGGCAAAAGCATGAAAATTTCCGTTTTCTTGATTTCTAACGGAGAAAAAAATACGGCAAAGGCGTATAAAGATGTTTTATGTGGATAGTGTTTACGTGAGCAAGTTAGAATTTTTGTAGGATTTTTATGAACTGAGTTACGATTTTTTTCGATTTTTCGGGCTGCTGAGTCTTTTTAGTTTTTGGCTCAAAACTCGAGGTAAAGAGAGCTGTTGCAAAAGCAAAATGGCCATCTTGTAGAGCTTGCTTTGCTCTATCGAATGGTACTTTGCAAAATATTTAGAAATGAGAAGTTCATGACTTACTGCGGTTGAAATTCAAAACGGGCATTAATTTCCGGACAACCTAATAGTTTTTAAAACCGTGCATTATTTTTAAATTCAAATTTTGCAAAAAATCGATAAAATCGATATCGATCGATACGAAAAGTAGCGTATGACACGCTCCCTGCCCCGAAGTATATGTGTGCCAAGTCTGGTCTCGATCGGTTCAGAAATGGAATTTTCTATTCGGAACATACGTACATACATACAGACATACAGACAGACATACAAACAGACATTCAGCTTTATATATAAGAAGATTATAGGTAGACGCACCTCCGTCGCACTTTGTAGACAAGATGATTGAGGTTAGTTTTCCATTGACATTCTTACATCCATAGAACTTTCATCACTACTGATGACTTCCGGAAAAACTCGTGCTTTTATCTAGTTTTCATTTAGTTGTAAAGAAACGGAACTTTGATTCTAAAAGTTATTTCCTTACCGTGTGACTAGTAACGATTGCCCTCTGTTATGAATGGCTTCCAGGGCTCTGTTAATGATTTTGATTTAAATGGGCGCCATATAGGGAGTTCTTGTTTGGCTAAGGGTAAACTGTCTCTAGCTTGCTATGTCAGCTAGTAATCACCATCCTACTTGCCTGCGACCACCCACGCAATACTCAAAACTAGGACACCATAATAACTTTTTTTCAGATCTCGACAGAACCTGTTATCACAGATTTTTTGAGACCCAAAACTATATTCTGTAAATCCGCTGATATCCGGTCAGTGCAATTAACATTATTATTGTGTCATGCATAACTTGTTTTTTCATTGTGCTCTTGCAGTGTAGCGGCAGTGTCTCCATCGGCAACTGGGCCGTTTTCTGAGACGCGTTCAATAGGGCCGCCGCAACCTTTGATCAGTGCAAAGCTCGAATTACTGGAAGTAGTCTATGTACGTTGTTGATGGGTCTTTCAAGAAGCTTTTTGTAGAGATTTTAGAAAAATTCCTCGGCGAGTTGGTTTGACACAATTGAGCTCACCTTCAAATACCTTGTTGGAGGTAATTCGAGTCGACGCCAGTAGTCAACATTCATATTGTAAAATCTATGGTCTTAATTTAGCATGGCCCTTAGGGCTTAAAGATTTGGAGGTGACTGCAATAATGGATGGCGATTTTTGTGAGAAAGAAGCTGTTAATCAAAGCGTGCCTCTGCCCACTTATGTGAGTCATACGGTGCTTGTAAAGATTTAGATGAATCTCTACAGGCTCAAGGTTCCCTTGGTACTATAGTCGCTCGGATAGATGCCGACGCTATGTATCGTAAATGTCACTATATCTACTATGCTAAGGAGATCAAGAGTAAACAATGTCTAACTCGGTTATTTCCTGCGACCAAAGATTCGAAACGACTGTTATTAAGTGAGTTTCCAGTACCAGCTGATTTCCTTATATCTCTCACGTTAGTCCGTGATTGTCGCACTAAAACATGTGGAAAAGTGCTCTAGATTGAGAACTAGCTGCGATAACTCCATTTTGTTCGCTTTCTAGCATCTTATGGGAAAACCCACCAATCCCTTCCATCTACATAAAGACTCTCCCTGTCCCACTCTTGAAGGCAGCGTCCGGGCAGGTCCGACGATTTCAAGAAAAGCACAGATTCCTAAAGCTCCCACCCCGATCAATGTCTTGCCTAAATGGCATCACTCCACTTTGCTTCTGAAGCGAGAAAACCGCCTCAGAACTGGCGACACGGACACCCCTTTACGGCCGGCGGCGACATGCCCGCCCATCCAAGGATTTCACGTTAGATGTGCAGGTTGCCAATTCGCACTGTCATAACTGTGGACGGGTTGCAGCCTCGTACTGTCATAACCGTACCGCAACACAATATTGCGGCGTCTTGCTTCTCTGGTTTCTGACCAGTGGCATGTGAGTGCTCGTCCGGAGGCTACTGGAAGGGGCTTCCGGAAACCTCGAATTTTTTCGTTTTCACGCGCTTCGAGGCTTATATTCGCATTTGGGGCGACGAGTAGGGACAAACAAGGCAATAAACCGGAGGTCGTCAATCTGACCGGACGCTGCCTTTAAGTGTCAGCTCTGTCCCCGGGTTGCACCGGTTCGCAAAATTCGCGTAATCAAAGTTGGCAAAAAAACGATGGATTGTGCAAAGTAAGAATTTTTGTGAGAAAAACGGTAAATCTGAATCTGGCAAAATGTCAAGTTGCAGATTTGATCAGCAGCGATTTGACGGATTCGCTGGAGGTAAAATTTGGGCTTTGTGCATTTTGAGTATACAAAACTAGCCAAAGACTGCCTTTATGAGTTTACTTTATCCGTCAGTTAAAAAAACAGATTGTAGAACCACAATTAAAAGTAAAGTTAAATCTTAACAAAAAGTAGAACTTCTAATGTTTTTCAACAAATGAGGAAACACCGTAAAAGTGTTATTTATTGAATTTGTAGACGTAATGCCAATATTAATTTCTGATTATCAAAGAAAACACTAAATTTCACGTTCATAAAACTGACTTTGCTAATACTTCAAGAAAAATTGCCCATCAAAGGTATTTTCGCATATGTCTAAATCTTTTAAGCAGCTACTCCGCATGATAAAAATTACCAAAAATTGAAATCCCTGATACACCCCGACTGACGTCACTGATTTGATCTGGATTTGGGCTCGACGCGAGTGAATTCGCAAACAAGGCCCCCTTTACGACGTTTCTGGTTGCATGGTAACTGACTGCTTTAGATTAACTTGTTCAATTGCTGGGGATGGAAAAGGCGAGATTCAACATAGAATTTGATGTTGATGTATATCCCCGCCATTTTCCTGGTCTCCGCACGCAACCTAAAATTTATTCCGTCCTCAACGATACAGCTTGCCCTCATGCCAGTCGTGCCAACCTGACCCAAATATTATTTTGCCTCAAAATTTTTAATTTTCTCTTACCGTCATTTCTCCAGCGAGAAATCATAGTTTTTTGCTCCCTGAATAGACTTCAGTGGCCGTATTCATCAACGAACCTTGAGGGTTAAACTTACCTCCAGGGTTAGTTTAACCTTCAGGGTTCATTGGCCGTATCCACCAACCATAGGGTAGGGTTCACCAAGAAACGCGATCCACCCGTATCGATCAACGAACCCTGATGATTAAACTAACCCTAGAGGGTTAAGGCGTCAGTTACGCGTGCGCTGTGCAAACTCACATCACAGAATGCCTAAGTACGTGCTAAATTCGATTTATACTTCTATTCTTTCACTGTTATTAATGAACCAGTAATTAAAAGTGCCAGATTGCATCCGCGCGCTTCGGAACCGCACCGCGGTTTCCCGCTATTGGAAGATTTTTGAATTGAAATAACGATTCTTTATATATTAGATAGTAGATAATCAACGAATAAGCTTCTAACACTAGTTTTTATAATACATCTCTAGCAGTGGCGTACCCAGGATTTCGGCTCGGCCCCCCCCCCTTCGGTACGCCACTGATCTCTAATATATTTGTGCAGCATTTAATCTTACAGCGTGAGTTTATTTTCATGTGTGCAATTGTGCCGTGAAGTTCTACGTTTGCGCAGTTCGTCTTATACCAGGCTTATGCTATTCTTTTAGGGATCAATGCGTGTTATAATAGATTGGTTCTTCTGTTTTGACACTTGTCAAAGTGGAATGCGCAACCATTTTTCCTCGTCGCATTCATTTGTCACCAAAGCTAGAATTCTTTTTCTCGTGAAGTCAGTTTTCATGTACTTCGAATTTGAACATAAAACGAAGTCGAAACTAAATACCAACGACAACTAATACTAAACACTACAATATCGTTGATCGTTTTTCATAAAACTAACAGATGCGAGTAAATGTTTGTATGAAGTGTTAGGGTAGAGTTAACCTTGCTCTAAGCTAGGGTTAAATTAACCCTGATAAATTACGTAAGTTTTACCCTCCAGGGTTAGTTCAATACTCAGGATTCGTTGATGAATACGGGTTAATTGCTTTCGGGTAAGGTTTACTATCAAGGGTAGATTTGACCCTCAGGGTTAAGCCTACCGTGTGTTTTATGAATACGGGTTAATCGCTTTCCAGAGTTAAACTAACCCTCCAGGATTAGTTTGACCCTCAAGGTTCGTTGATGAATACGGCCACAGGATAACCTTCGATAGGGCAAAACTAACCCTGCAATACTCTGTTCAGATATTCGCACAAAATTTGCTCCACATGACGTGGCCAAAAACTAAAGATGTCCCGTTCAGAGAATTAAGAAAGAGTCGTACCTCCTCTAAGAAAATCCTACGGACATCCTGTTTGCTCACATATACACCTTCCACAACGGGCATACATCTGTACATTTTTATGGCTGAAATTTGAAAAAAAAACAATAAAGTCATGTTTTTGCGAAAGAATGCTGGGCTGTTCCCACATATTCAATTTCGTACATAGTATGAACCTTTGGAAGTCATGGACTTTTAGCCTTCTATGTTAGTTTTTGAAACAACTAACCTAGATCAAAACCCTGAAAGAAGAGAACATCTTCGCGTTTTTGGCTAATTCAGACTTATTCATGCTTGATTTTGACAAATGGAAAAAGTATAATATATCAAATGATGTGCATATACTGTACAATAAACTATGTGGAAAGTATACGTCTAAACAAGTAAAGGGTCTTAGGAGGAGTAAGCTTTTTGCAAATGTTTGGGCAAAAGCTTGTCAAGCTTGCTTTGCTCTATCGAAAGGTACCGCAAAAGCGTTCTAAAGAAGAAGAATCTGACTTATTGTAGGAGGAATCAAGAGCACTGAAATTTATGAGGAAACCTAATAGAAGAAAAAGCACAAACAAACAACATCGTCTGCGAAGTGTGGTGGTAAAAACTAGAATAGGCAGTATCAAGCGGCAACTACTATAAGGTACTATATAGTGAGAAGGCCGTAAACACATGTCTTGGCGTAACAAATCATTGCGGACGCCTGTGCACTTACATAGAAAAACTTCGACCCCAAAGCAATCCACACCAATTTCAACTGCAGCTAATTACATACAATTTCTTCAGCATTCGAATAAACGATTTTGAGTGTAGGAATAAGAACAAACAACACTTAACCAGAACAAGCTCATCAAAACATTCACGCTTAGACAATAGTATAAATTGCTAGCAATTTTCTGTCCTTCAAGCATTCTTGCTTATTTCCAGGGTCAAGCGTGGGGTACGGCACGCCACATTTGGGGGGGGGGGGGGGTCGTACTGTATTGAGGAGTCAAAAGGGGAGGAGGTCGTAGTTGGGTAATCTGATAATAGTGATAACATGATACTCGTATCATATCCGTAATCAGCATGTCAATTAACCCTGTAGACAAAGTGTGAGCGAATTCTGAAGATTCAAGATACGAGGCTACCTAAATGAAATGGTCAAATTCCAACATGGTTAACTTTGTTTCAAAGGTGAATTAGCTATCCGTTTTTGCACTCAAAACAAAGCACTACTCCTTCTTTGTCCACCTCAGGAATCCCGCTCCAGGAAGACCTGCAAACTGTGGAATTAGAAGCCAACCAAAATCTCGTTTTTCTCATTTTTCGCTTTTGATCGCTGTGCTTTCACCAAGTATTACTTAGAGCTAAGAAGACAAATCAGGCTCTAAACAGTCCTATGGAATCTACAAGGCTTAGGCTATCGATTCATATAAATAATGTCCGCTAAAAATGTCTTTTTGATATAGTTAATGGGGTGCGGCACACCCCCTTAAAAGCTGCGGCTGCCACAGCTTTTAAGGGGGTGTGCCGCACCCCCTTAACTTGCCTTCAAATCAAGAAAGCGCTCCATTGCTGGTGAGTATTGAGCACATAGCTTCTTCTTGCTAAATTGGAAATTTGGAGCCGAACGCCCTACGCATAAGAAAATTATGGCCCTTTCAATATGCCCATTCAGGTCAAAATCAGCCGTAAATTACGTGTGATTGTAAGTGCAGTCACAGAAAATCGGGCGTACAGCTCTCAGAAATCTGAAAACTCTCTAGAAAAAGATGGTGTCCTTCAGAATGTCACACTTTGAGGTCCAGAGGTTAAGAGGAGGAAGAAGGGGTTGTTTGAAGGCTTCCATGGGAGGGGGGTTCGAAAGACTTGTGCCTGACCTCTTTCTCAACTCTGGTAATGCTATATTAGGTATATAGTCCACGGGGGGGGGTCGTAATCAGCGATCGTGTGCCACACCCCTTGCTTGACCCTGCTTATTTCTTGGTTGATTTAGCATTCTTGTTTTTAAAGCGTAAGTTTGCACCAAAGTGCTTTTTCAAACTTCTTCCGCGCCTTTACTCTTTCATCTTGTGAAAAAGGAATGTTTCAATTTATTAGATATTAGCTGGCAAACCCGGCTCCGCCCGGCCCTGTCAATAGTATATTCGTAATCAGCATGCTCACTTACCCCCCCCCCCCCCCCTCCCCCTGTACCAATTCTCAGCCCCGTAGCTCGAACTTTTTGAAAAATCAATAAAATCGATATCGATCGGCGACGAAAAGTAGCCTATGACACCCGCCCGGCCACGGAGTGTATGTGTGCAAAGTTTGGTCCGGATCGGTTCAGAAGAGCAATTTTCTATTCGGAACATACGTACACACAGACATACAGACATACAGACAAACAGACATACAAACAGACATTCAGCTTTATATATAAGATCGTCTACATATCAGCAAAGCAATGCATATCAATCACAATCTCTTATTAAGCAATGCACTATCAACCCGTTGACGACGATGTGGGCTACCGGGGCCCACACTTCTTGCAAAGTCATTTCCTTTATAGATCTGGTTTTTCTTCCATAAACTGATATTTCTTTCAATTTTTTGCACCCTTGAGAACTGTAGGCTCCTTTGTTCAGAAAATGTCTCGAGTTGTTAACACAACAACCTTGCATTTCGTAAATAACCACAGAACCATCCCACGCCGAAAGTATTGTGCAAAATCGCGTCGTCCCACAGCGTCTCCATACTTAGTTAGGCGTCGTCGTCAAAGAGTCAAGCTAAAGACGTGAAGATAAAAAAGATAGGCTTGCTATTTTTCTATCAAATATCTTTTTCAAAAACCATTTCTTTTAACAGGCTGTAATACCGTAAAAAATAGTTCCTGTACAGAAGACGCAGCTACGTCTCCGATTTGTGGACCGATTGAAAAAATTGATTACGAGGTATTGAATGCTGTGAATTGCAGAGACTGTAAACCGCTGACTTTTTGAAGGTAACAGAGAAGGTACCAATGCCTGGTGAGCCGAATAAAAAACTTCTGTGGTTAAACGTTACATTCGATCCGGTTATGGGAGAGAAGAAGCTACCAACGCTCTATTATAAAGCCTTTTATGGACAAGGAGAACCATACGACAATGTTCGTAAGCCCATTTATATCTATCCTGTATAAGAATGATAAGAATGATAAGAATAATAAGAATGCTTGATAAGAATGCTGCGCTGTCAGAATATCAATCTCGTCAACCTCACCCGCAACATCAAGGCTACCACCAACTGTTTGAAATTTGATAATGGAAAATGTTTGGTAAGCAACTAACAGAATATCTTTAACGTTTTTCAGTCGATTGCGTAGTAGCATTGGACAACGCTATTTTCAGGAAAGTCACAACAGCATTTTGATATCCGGCATTCGTTATGATACAACATATGGCATTATTTTTTGTGCCATCAAAAATATTACGGATATTCCCGATTTCCTTGTAAACAACACTTCGAAGCCGAAAGGAAACAGAATTTACGTTAGTTCGGCATTGATCGAGACGCTAGGTAGGAGTTAAGTTCAACGAACAAGATAGCTGATGAGATTGTCAGTGACATCATCGATGGATTCAGGGTCGTCTACCAAAGCTGTGATCATCGGCATAACTGGTGTAGCTCTCTTTTCAATAGTGGATATAATTTTTATAAGGTGCTACATCAAAAGGCAAAAACGAGATAACAAAATTTATCGACTGAAGCTATCGCAAAGGGAAAACGATAGTCGTTACAGTCTTCCTCGACAGTACGTTGCTGTTGATAAGTAGGAATCACCTATTGAGTCATCATACTTCAGATCTGACATTTGGGAAATCGAGCGTCGTAATCTGATAATTTACGACGAGGCAAAGCTTGGGTCTGGTGCTTTTGGTGCAGTTTACTTGGGTGAGATTTGCTTATCAATCGCTCTCAAAATTTTAAGTTGGGCTAATGACGACATCTATAAGAAGCAATTTTCTGTCAACATTATTTTCTTTAAGGGGAAAGTTAGGTTTAAAACAGAGTTATACATATATAAATCACAGTGATTAGAATGTAGTTGCGGAATGTTCGAAATTTTCGCATGAATCATTTACTTATTGGAAGTCCCCTGTGAAATATCAAAAAGGCAACATGTCATTGGTCATTGGTAGTGAAAATCAAAAAAAACTAGATTTATCCAAATTAAATACATGTTTTGAATACTCTCACTCGGGAAGTTATCGTCCCTAAATTTTTATGCTTTTCAATGCAGTAGGAACCATTAGAAGTTTTTGGTGTTTGTTTTTTGTTTGAGTGTATCAAATTTCGGTGCTGAGCGTACACTCATCTGTTCTACTAGCAGCCTAAACAGCTCGTCATGCTGAACTATTATCTGGGCTTTGCAGCGCATGGAAATAGTGAAAATGAGCTTTTATAAACATTTCCCTGTCCTAACTTGCTGGAAAATACGTGTAATTGTGGGAAAGGGAAAAAGGGGCACAAGGGCAACGTTCGGAAAACTTTCAGATGATTCAAGGCAATTCAGGAGCGCTTCTCCGTTTCAGACTATTACTGATAGATTAACACATTGGCGACCATGCAAATTTTTAGTTGTCTGTCTTTTAGGACAAAGGCCTTTTGCGGACCAGCCCACATTTTTTAACTATTATACGCATACTGCCATCTACAGTACACCTACAGTAGATCTGAAAGGCTAACAAAAAAGGCAGAGGTTGACCCCAAATTCAGTGCAAAAAGAGTTCATGGAATGAGTTTATCCACGATAGTAGTCATTTCAGCAAAATTCTAGTCTTAACACACATGGTGTGTCAAGCGGTCCTACGCGGTAGTCATTGCTTGACACACCATATGTGTCAAGCGGTCGTCAATGTGTTAATTGGGGGTCTGGGTCTGCCATTGCAATACTGTAAAATCACCCATTATTTTGACGAAACGCTGCCTTTGAGAACAAACTGAATTTTGTTGCATGCATCACACTCGACTTAGAGGGACGTACAAGTTCTCCAGGGTATCGCCCCTTGTCTTAACTTCCGTCGACAACGAGAACGCTTCTGGCAGCGTTGAAACTAGCGCCATTCTGTCAGCGCTTTTCGACCAAGGTGAGATCCATACGTGAGAATTAGCCGACTGCTACAAAAACTGGACAACAACGATGCAGCTATTCCTTAGTCCTTTGAACTATCCCAACTGGGAAGGGGTTCGACAAGATGACACTACTTCGCCGAAGCTTTCACAGCGGTCTTGCAGTGGGTGAAGAAGTCACTGGACTGGGACGAGAGAGGCACGCGATTTGATGAGAGATTCTTTTCCTTCGTTTTGCTGACGAAATTGTTCTCTTTTCGAGCAGGATCGCAAAGACGATGCTGAAGGAGCACGAAGTAGGGAGTAAGAACGAATTGTGAATATATAGGAATACGATTAAATTTATGGAGAACACTCTTTTCGAAGATGCTGAAATGGAAATGGAAGGCACTCTTAATATGGGAATGCTTCCATCTTGTATCATGGAAGTTCGATGAACATGGAGAACATTTTGAAAGAAGAACTCAATAAGAGAAGAAGAGCAGTCGTGCTGCCTTTGGGACCTTGAAGGTCACCAACTAGATAAAGATTTTTGCCCCGAGTCCACCAGCTCTTCACCGAAGTGGGGCAAACTTGGACACATAGACTTTTCGTGTGGAAACGGAAGAGGGCGGGTGGCTCAGTCAAGGCACTGCCCGAGCGGCAGTGCAAATCGTCCATTCACGGCTGACAAATCCATCTCCAAAACTCTCAAGACCTGCGACCTGACAGTTATCCGTAGTTCACTCTGCCCAGATTAGCACTGCGTACGCGCTGAAACCCTTCCCTAGTCACTCGCGAGTAACAGTCACGGCGCAGGATTTAAGGAATTGGAGATGGATTGATCAGTCGCGAACAAATCGTTTGCCCTCCAACTTGGGCAGTGCGTTGGTCATAACCCACTTACCAGTTTCCACGCGAAAAACGCATGCGCCCAGATTTGCCTGGACACTGCCATTTATCCTTGTTTTTACGCAGTTAAGACATAGGGGGAGCCACGTCGAAAGCTTTACGGACCACTCACAGTTCACTTTAGGGGGCAGTCTTCTTCCAAAGGTTAGCCGACACAATGCAACTTCTCGTCTGACTTGCTAGTACAAATATTATATTCTCCTGATCCAGCGAAATATGTTGTGGAAACGAAATACCGACGTGTCGGTCACATCTTAGGAGAACAGTAGACGAGACGACATAAAACAACGTTTGTCTGCTACGCTGAGTCCAAATATACACCACTCCTCCCCCCTCTTCTCCAAGGCGAAAACGGCGAGGAAGGCGTTTTCCAAATCTTGAAAGCACAACCTTCAAAAAAACGGGACAAACGAGATTTTGACTGGCACTTAGTTCCATAATTTGACGATTATTTGAAGTGGACTTCTCAAATGGGCGAAGAAAGATAGTGAGTGCTTTGCACTGAGTGTAAAAAATGTTAGCTAACTCATCTTTGAAACAAATTTAACCATCTTCGAAAATGATCATTTCACTGAGTGGCCTATTATTTGAAAACCTCAGAGTTCGCTAAAACTTGAATTCACAAGGGTTGTTCGACACGCTAGAGACGAATGTTTACTTAGGATTGGACCAAACTTTGCGGCTAAGCGGCGTACGCGACATACGCAGTGTACGCAAACATGCATAAATATATGGAGCGTACCCCGCACAGTCTGGCCCAACGTTTAGGTAGGTAGACGATAATATGGGAGGGGGACATTGAAGCGGGAGGGGGGGGGGGGGTCGAATTAGGCGGTCGTGCCACATCTCTTGCTCAATCCTGACTATATTTATGGTCGACGGTACAACACATGTGTAAATACCTTCGTGTTTCTCTAGTACATTACCGCTTATAATCTTTCTTCCAGCAAATAGATCGCTTTTTATGTTTTCCAGTTGACCCTTTTGACCACTGTTAAGGTAGACTTCTTGGTAAATCACCGGCAAACCGCGATTCCAAGTCAACTTTAGGTGTGAATCTAATGAGAGCGGAAAATTGTCAGGTCTGTGCTTCAAGTACGATGTTTAAGCTTTCTTCCAAAGCTAGCTTTTAAATATAAGAATAGGTTGCCAATCTTGATTCAGGTGGCGGTCAAAATGTTACCAGAATCTGCAGATGATGCATCTCGAAGCGAATTTTTGCGAGAGATTGGTCTAATGAAAACAATTGGATATCACGAAAGGTACTTTTCCTTGAGCGGCAAGTCAACATTCGCGCAAGTTTTTTTTGTCCTTGCTTGCTTTGGGTCAGTGATGGATTAGAAAAGAAATGTGGAAATGAAGTTCATTGCATTTTAATGTAAAGTATCGTATTAGTGTTGAGTACTTCTAACATGTGAGAAAGTCGTATTCTCAGGCAGAATTTTGCTCACACCTTATCAGCAAAGCGTCAACTTTCACTACAGCTTTACTGGTTGTTCTTTTTTCGATCGAATGTATGTGTAATTTGAACATTTCTGCCACTTATTAAGACTTCTTCTCAAGCTTCATAGATTTTATTATACTATGTAGATTGATTCGCAACTAGCAGAAAACTCATTCCAAACTCCTCCAAATCTGAGCGTCATGTCGGGAAAAGAGCTCAAATGTTCGCTATATGTGTATTTGAGGATGTCACTGCGCTCAAGTTTTAAAACTGGCATGGGATGTCTGAAGAACCCTTCTTGCCGTCACAAAATCTTAATCAAAAAACAAATCAAAAAACAAAGGTTTTAAATATATATACTAAAACTATATACTAATACATACTAAAAACAATACGTTTCCAAAACTCTTTTGCTCCTTTGTGTTATAAATCAAAATTGAAAGTGCAGGCATTATAAAAAAAGCGCGTTCTTATAGAACGCAGTGCACCTCTCAAAAAAGCGAGTGTTAGTCTTGTGTGTAACTGAATAGGCTCCCATGATAAGCTTAAGAGTATTCATGGAAATTTAAAATCAGCCTTTTGGCAGGTCAGTGCATTTATACTTCAATGTCGAAGCATGGGCGAGGAGGGAATTCTGGGCGTTTTGCCATCATCGTCTTAGAACGCACTTATGAACACATTTGCACCTTGCAAACTTTGTTCTAAATTCGTCAACCGGCGTGTTTATCTGAGCTGCAAAGAGCTTTCAATGTTGTCTAACAACTTAATCTGCTTAGGACCTAAGGCATACCTCACGCGATGTTAGTCGCTGTGCGATCTGCTACTGCGAGAACTCTTCATAGCTAGTCGTAAACGCACTTTGCTTGGGCTATACCTGCTGCTTCTGGTGCAACTTACAAAATCTGTGCGCCCATGCATCTGATAGCCGCGGACGCTCAATCTATAAATATCTGGCAAAAAGCCAAGTCGGGAGGATGTGGCGAATTTGCGAAATTGCGGGAGGTATGCCTCAGATAAAGGAAGCGTCAGGGCAAAAACTCGATTTTTAAAGGATCCACTTACGGGGGTAATCCGCAACGCTGAATCCGAAAATCCACATTAGAAGGCGCGAAAACGACGAGAACATGCGTTTTTCAAAGCTTTACAATTTGAAATTCGACGGTCCCCGCCAAGGGCTAGAGGACATTAGGTCGCCATAGGCTCCACCCACGCAAACAGTTAGCATGAGGCAATAGTGGTGAAGCCGCGCGGTTTGTCGCAAATGTCCGCGCGGGAACGCCCCTTTCGGCGACCTAATGTCTTTTACCCCCCCCCCCCACCAAAGCTGAGACAGAGTCGCTGCGGAACCCTACGATTTTGTTTGTGGCACCATGCGTACTCTGCAGGAATTCAAACAGGTCGGAGGATATCGCCCCAGGACGTAAGTTTCCTCATCCGATCTCTTTCTTACTTTTGGTCGGACGTTGTAACCTCATACTTGCACGGTACTGTGTCTAAGGGGCGCCACTCTCGCATGACACTGAAACCCCAAAACCTCCACCTTGTCCGAACATTGCCTTTGACTAGTTAATGAGAAGTGTCTAATCAGCCATGTTACGGGCCTGCAATTCACGAAACGCTTCATGGCAAGTTATTAAAATCTGATGAATAATAGGGCTCAAAAAATTGAATTTATGATCGAAACGCGCACTTAGTCAGTTAACTTCTTCTTTAGAGTCAAAAAAAAATCAAACATATGGAATTAGATTCTCGTAAGTCGTCCATGATATAGTAGCGTCAGGCCTAAGGCATACCTTATGCGATTCCGGTCGCTGCGCGATAGGACACTGCAACAACTATGGATAATTTGGTCGTTAGTGCGTTTCATTTAAGCATGACTATCCGTTTGAAACAACTTACAAGAGCTAGCTCCTAGGCATCTGAGATCGCGCACGATATTTTGAAACATCTGACAATCTCCAGGTCGCGTGCAGGTCGCGATTAGGTTGAATCGCGCGAGGTATGCAATAGGCGCCTTAGCAGACAGCTCCAGTCAAAAATTCAGCTATGCGGGCAGATGGCACGAAATTAATTTTTTACATAAATAAGTTGTAATGCGTGAGGTCCTACATTAATGTTCATGAGTACAAGTGACAACTTTACACATCCGGTATAACTTTCTCTTGGAAGAATCATGAATCACCAACTTTAAATGCTGAACAAAAGCAGCAAAAAATAAAACCGTGTTTCAAAGGGCAACAAGAAAAGTAGTACGTCAACAGAATTTACTTTGAACATGCAGGGTGACCTGGGTCTAAGTTCGAATAGTTTGCAAGCATTTATTAATGACTTAATCACATGCAGCCGTCGCATGCATGCTGCAGTTCCGGATTTCTAGGCTAGTCAACATGCTGGCATGTATCACAGAATCCGAACCTCTCTGCCTTGTTGCCGAGTTTTGTAGCGATGGTGACCTACTCAATTTTCTGCAAGAACGTTGCAAATACATGATCAAAGTAAGTTCCCATTCATTTTCTTACATTACTGAGTAAATCTGATTCTACAGCTCAATGGTCAAGGAATAAACTATGATGATGTACCAGAGGTTGATAACTACAACATCGATATGATAGTCACCTTGAAACAATTGTTGATGTTTGCTGTGCAGATTTCTTATGGTCTTGTGAGTGCTGCAAAAACAGTTTTTTTGCCTCATAGAATCTTTTAGGAGTACTTATCTACCAGAGGATTTGTCCATCGTGACATTGCGGCTAGAAATATACTCGTTAATGGGAAAAACTCTTGCAAGATTGGTGACTTTGGACTTTGCCGGAATTTGTATTCGGACAGTTCACTTTATAGAAGCAAGGTATGTCACATAACAGTCCTGAGAATATTGAGATTACAAGATTCATACAGGGAGGACGTTTACCGCTGAAGTGGATGTCACCAGAGGCGATACGACATTATAAGTTCTCGACACAGAGTGATGTGTAATCATTAGTTATACATTTTCTTCTAAAATTTTCAATACAGTAACTACATAGAAAGCTTACTTATAAAAATGGGTACTTGAGAATATGAGTGTGTAAACATTTTTTGTGCATACATTGTTGAGCACTAAATGAGAGATCAAGGGCACTCACGATCGAGCACATTTTGGTATAATACATATGATCCACTTCTTCAAACCTTGCATATCAATGTTTGGATTCAGAGCAGTACTTATACTTACGCATCATAGATAAATATCGAAAACAACATAACTATTATTGCAGGTGGGCATTCGGTATACTGCTTTTCGAAATTATCACATTAGGGGGTTCCCCCTATCCATTAATTCCTCCCGAAGATTTGCTCGATTATCTCGAAAACGGGAGAAGAATGGAGCGTCCTGACAATTGCCCCGAACTTTTGCAAGTTACTCGTTGTTTTCAAGTGTTTCGAATAGTGTGTGCGTTCTTCAGCTACGAAGTGATGGCCGAATGTTGGCGTTTTGAGCCGGAACACCGACCGGGTTTCTCAACAATTCGCCAGAAGTTAGCTGCTCAGCTTGAGGAAATCACGGAAGAGTATAATTATCTCAAGTTAGACAGTAGGAAAAACTACTACAACGTACAATATGCAGAAAAGGTTCGTTTGAGTAGATAGGCTGCGATCGCAATTTTGTGAAAAACTTGTAATCTCTTTAGCCGGATGTAATAGTCATTCCCGAGTCGGAGGAACCTATCTCACCGCCAAAACCACGAGAAGGGAGCCAATCGCTTTCCTTCGATAGCATGCATGGTGATGACCGATGGATCGCCCAAGTAAATAGTGAGATAGATGACGCAACCAGGAAAAGAAACTCCCGCAGTGTCAGCATTGCAAAGAATGTGGACGACAATTTATGTGCAGAGTACGCGTTCTGATGCGTGAAATATGCGCATCTAAATCTAACAAATACTTCACCTTTCCTTATGAACCTCAACCATTGTGTTGGTAAGAAAGTTTTCGGACAACCCCAGAGTAATCATGTTATTTCTTGGAATCTAATGCATACACATAAGCGAAAATAGCAATATATATTCTAGCATGCATGAACCTTATATTTGAGCAAGTGGAAGGAGTTCAGTGTTGAGGCGGAAGCTTGTTACTTTTCAATCACCTCCTTTTTTTGTTAGATAGGCTCGAATCCTGTACAACTTTGCTTGTAAGTATGAACTATTTGCCTACTTTTGAAGCATGTGCTAGCGCCATAAGTTCCTGGAAGATGGAGTTTTCGGTCAAGTCGAAATCTTATGCTTTAGAATTTTCGCCTGTGTACTCACAGGAGGTGCTGACCATGATTATCCCTACCAAAATCTTATGGAGCTTGTTTCCTTTAGTTGAACACCGTATCCACTCAGTACTCACATCGAAATAAAAACTATCTTGTATTTCTATGTCAGTACTTTATTACCAACCTAATACAGTAGAGGAAAGGCGGCTTCGTGAGTTCACTACGGAACACTGACTATTGCTTCAATGTTGTAGTAGTACAAAAACTTTGGCAATTTCGTCTCATAGTTCTTAGAAACGCAAGTCTTGATATATTTACCAAGGCTGCAGCTATAAAATAGTGCGGTTATTTGAAAAATTATTACAATCCAAATATAAGGCCATTCCCTTCCCTTCTTATTGTTTTGCAGTGAGTAACAACTTAGTTGCACGATTTATCGTATGAAACGTTGGCTTTGATGAAGTTGTATTTGGATACGTGCACGATTACAACGTATTTTACCAAAAATGAGCGTTTGTCTCAGTGATCAGGAACTTATCAGCGGCACTCCGCAGTACTTTTCGCTTGCTGTCAACTTCGGCTTCTAAAATCATGTCCCAGTGCTAAGCCCAATCATTCTCTTTACTCAAACGGAAACAAATCGATTGTGGTGGCCATCGTGTTTGTATTTTATCTCAAATCATCCAATCTTTGCACAATTTGTCTCACGTTCTTCAATTCTCAGAGTCTCGCGTCGTCTGATTACCAGTTCAGTATTTTTACCATGCAATGGTATGGTACTAAACCATCGCCACAGACTGTGCACTTTGTATCCAGCGGATCTCTGTACGAGTTATGTTGCCCAGACCATGACGGTCACCTCTTGTTGTGAACCTATACGATCCCGATTTGTGCTTTTGTTATATTATACTTCACAATATCACTGTTCAAAGTTTAAGGACAATTTTATATATAAAGCTGAATGTCTATTTGTTTGTCTGTACAGGTTACTGCTTGACGAAGGCGCCATACCTTTGGGCGCGAACGCAGCTTTATTAGCCACAGAGCGCATGAGGCGCAGAATTTACAATGGTAAAGGTTTGCGTGCACCGCGTTCGCGCCGGCTCAATTAATACTGCTTCTGCGCCTTCGTTATGCCTTCGCCTTTATGTCTGTATGTATGTGTTTAAGTATGTGAAATTTGAAAAAAAAGAAAAAAAGAAAAAAATAGAAATTTTTATTTCTAAATCGGTTTGGACCAAACTTGGCACACATATACTTCGCGGGAAGGGGGGAGGGGGGAGCATGTCATAGGCTACTTTTCGTTACCGATCGGTACCGATTTTATCGATTTTATCGATTTTTTGCAGAGTACAAGCTGCGGGGGGGGGGGGGCTGGGGTTGGCACAGGGGCAAGCGAGCATGCTGATTACTAACACTGGTTACTAATGGGAATAGGGAATTGGCATGTAGAAGTAGGCAAGGAAAAAGTTGTTCAGGTTTAGGGATGGGACTTTTATCAAAGTCTTTTGGCAGGGCCGAGCGGAGCCGGATAAGCCAGCTAGTAATTCCTAAATATTTGCTGAAAATTACAATTGAAACGGATAAAAACTTCGGAAACATCACAAAAGTCGGATCTAGATCTAATCAGATCTAGCCCCAGAACTTAAACCGTTTTTCTTGTGAGTAGTTCATCTATTTTAGTTCACACAATCTTGCTTCTAAAATTAAGCTTTATCGGGGACAAGCCGGCTAGCTTACCGGGGGTTCGCTGGCGTCCAAAAATCCGGGTCATCAGAATTTTAGAGCAAGTAAGATCCAAATTCTTTCTTTTAGATTATTTCTCACTTTTCGCAGCTTTCTGCGAAGTACGTGTGCACGTCTTAGGGTCTAGGGCTCCTCAGCTCGTTTACACTTATATTCCTATATTATGTAGCTAGCTTGGATGGATGTTTGATTTTTCAAGTTTGTTCTGAATTCTTTGTTGTTTTTTTTTTTAGTTTAGGCGCACCATGAGTGTATTAAAAACAAGTAAATAAATAAGAAGTGGTTTCCGTCAATCTATTTCATACCTAATCGAAACTGTAGCGCCAGTTAGTCGAATAGAGAACAAGAATCATAAGAAAATATCACCTTGGGAAAATTATTTCCTAAAAGATGACTAGAAAAGCGTTATCTATCATAGATAGTAGTCTAGCTTAAGAATTCTTGAATTTTTTTTTGCTATAGAAAACGCAGAGTCAAAAATGTTAATTATTTGGCTTTTCTTTCTTTTGATTGTCCAGCCATTCCAAGCAAAGCTGTATATCATCGGACTCACCTTACGCTGATTTTAAATATATGTCCTTTATCTGCCAAGCGACTGGAGGGAGGAGTTACGAGCGTTCGAATATGAGAAATTATTTGAGTTCCAACGAATGTGGTTCGCTAGAAAGCAGCCTGATGACGCGGATTTACAGTGACTATGGTTATCTCGGTTACAAGGAAGAAGCACATTTACCAAAACCTGAATAAGTGTTTTTGAAACGTATTTCGTGGAACATGAGCCACAGAACTTATGACAAATTGCGCATTCAAACGCTCTAACTCCTGTCAGATAGTCTCTTGGCAGATAAAAAACATATATTTGAGGTTACCGTTTCAGGCAAGTCCGACGATGTATAGCTTGCCTGGTATCGCTGGGTTAAGTTTTGACCTCTCCCTGCTAGGCTGACAAGTGCTTCACGCCGTGCTATTGAGTGCATGGGTCCCAACGCATTCGTGATGACTGTTCGGCGCAACAATCACTTCACGCTTTTCGACGAGCATTGCTTACTTGGCGAAATCGTCGCGATTTTGCCGAATCGGCGCGATCGTGTCGCCCGTTTGTGGCGAGCGACGGGGCGACCGTCGCGCCGCTCTCCTGAGCTGCATTTTATCAGGTATCCTGTTGTTGCGGACGCGTTATGACTTTTTCTTCTTTCAGGTCAGCTGTAGAGAGCTGTAGAAAATCCACTCAAGCCTTTGCGTGTGTGAGTCATCAAATCAGAGTGATAGGTTTCCGTTCTACAACAACTTTCAATAGTGCTTTGTTTTAGATACAGTTTTCTTGGCCTTCAGAATCTGTACTCATTGCCGCTTGCTGAAGGTTAAGCCTTGAAGTCTCATTTTCTTCCAAACTAATGATAAGTGATGTTCAAGTTACAAAATCATTCAAAACCTTCAGCTATACAGATTTGCAGAACAAGATTCTTCATTTTTGGCGCTCTCAAGGAGCTTTAATTTTGTGCACAAAACTTATACAACACCGAATTACTTTTCCTTCGAGCAGTCGTATTGTTGGAACTTGAAAGAAATACAGAAGCGAATTTCACAAATCTCGAAACCCGTCATTGCTCATTGCTCACATTAGCCGCTACCGTAGCATATCTTAGAGAACTGTGTCGCAAAGCCCAAAAATGTAGCGAAAAGTTTTGAAACTTCTTATAATTAGCCACTTACATATTAAGACGGTGTGAGTCGTCAGTTGGTTGGTTGTTCGCATCATATGTGCAAGAGGACTTTTGAACAATATGTACGACCTGTGAAGCGTTGTGCAATTGCAGGACATAACGTTAGAGACATCTATGAACACGGACGGGCGAGGAGCGACTTAGTCGTCGCTTATAATCGCCTCTTCGGGGGCGTCGTGGCATTCAAAAATCGCGACGACTTCGTCGCTCGAGGTAGCCTAGGGCCCTAAGTCTCCTAGTGCCTGGAGATAGTTGCATGTGAAGACAGTTGCATTATTGTCTTGTTCAAAACAGTTTTCTATGCTATAAAATGGCAACAGCAAGTGTTTCTCTTTGTTCAATATCTCTACTGCATCAGTTAGTAAGAACTTCGCCCGTGTTTGTAAATTCTACATCATGCTCTGGACGGGCGTACACACACGAACACACACACATACACACATACACACATGCACACATACACACAATTCTTGGAGGATAATTGCAAGTCAAAATGTGTAGAATAAGAATGCATTTTCTTATGAGAGCGAAAGCATTTATGAATGAAAGAGAAAGTGAGAAGAGCTTTCAATTAACTTACGGTATTAGTCACAATGAGAAGAGTTCGGGTAGCTGTTGCTTCATTGCTTTCACATCTTTCACTAAGTGATGCAAACTAATGTAAACATAAACCCACTCAGCAATTTCGATCAATCGCTCGAAGAGGGAAAATTGATAGCAATGATAGTTACATCAATTACACGATTTTATGAAGAAAACTCTTTATTTCTTCATTGAAATGACAAAATTTGAGTTCATCATATGAACTTCCCGCTTTTTTCAAATTTGGGCATTTGGTCAACAAGTACACAAGCATTATAGTGGCGACATCTCCACGTAACGAATGTAGCGCCATCAGCATGGATCTTTCAGATCAACTCCCCTGTGAGTGTGTCATCATAGCCAGATTTGAAATGATCTTCGAAATTAAGTGGACGCTAGCAACTTCTAGTAAGTAATCATTTCAGAACTGACTAAGACATTGGGTGGTGTATAGATTTTACAAGTGACAACAGTAGCATGAGGCCACTTAGAAGCAGGGGAGTCAGCGCATACGTCGGCACCCATTCTCCAAGCTTAACAGCAGATATGTTTTTCGATGATACCCTACTTGGTAGGAGCTATGCAAACATGCATCTAGAGCTATCGGTAAACCATGCGGTAACCAATGCCCTAAATTCTGCAAAGTACATAGGCGCGGCAAAAGAAGAAATCGAGAGTAAGTGCAGATAAATGATTAACAAATATCCTAATAAAATTCTAGGAACAAATGGACTAGAGAACATACAGTAATATCACAACGATGACAGACAGCGTCAAACTTAGAGGCACCGTCCACCCAAAATGGAGGTTGGCGAGATTATGATGGCATACTAGTGTGGGCCCTCATACTAGACAAATCTACAAGCTTCGCCGCAAAAGACTGCTTCTGAAGCAAGAAATCCGCTCCGGAAGTAACAAAGTGGGCGGGGCGCCCCCGGCGGTCAGATTTCTCGCTTTAGAAGCAGTCTTTCGCACCGAAACTCGGGGGTTTGTTTAGTATGAGGGCCCACACTAGTATGCCATCATAATCTCGCCAACCTCCATTTTGGGTAGACGGTGCCTTGAAGTCATACACAAATCAGTGTGAAATTCATTCGAATAAGCCATAAAAGAATATAACAGATGCAAAAAACGAGCAAAACATGATGCAAAGCACGTATAATTGAGAAGTGGATAGAATGCATAGGCGGCTAGACAACGATTTTGTAGATTTATACATTAAGCGTCTTACTGCGTGCCACTGGGAAAGTTTGATGCTGACTGCTGTGATGCGAGCATTGAGCTCGCCCAACGCCCCAGATACGTGCCTTTCTCTTGCGCCTTAAGTAACTTCGATAAGATGTGTCAACAACCAATCATAATCGACTGACTCAATGTGCTGCTATAAATAGTAAATGTCCCCATTCTATATGCAAAGCTGAATGTTTATTGGTTTATCTGTCTGTAATACGCATGTATTTTTGTACGATTTTTTTCGCGAACTTTGAGTAAAATGGCTGGGAGCTGACACAGGGCTAAGCTAGCATGCTGATTACGAACATGTTACTAGATTTCAGGATTATCGAACCTTCATCGAATTAATCGCTCTTCCGCAAACTATGAATTACGGAGCTGGATGTTGGCGTAGGGGGGGGGGATAGGTAATGGGCTGGGAGTTGTCAGAGGAGGAGGGGGTGTCTAAACATTGTAACGGGATCGATATGGAAAACCCACTGCATCGATAGGTTTTAACAGTTTTACATCTTAAGGGGTAGGTAGCATGTTGATTACAAAAGCATAGAAAGGAACTGGCACATAAAAAGGACAGAGACGGGGAATGTTGTTGGCAGAGAATAATGATGTTTATCGTAATGGTGTTGGCAGTTGAACGGAGCCGGATATGTTAGCAGAAGTTGTGAAACAGCTGAGAACTTGCAGAATTTTTTGCTGTAACTTCAAGCGATCCCTTTCGAACATGCAGAATTTGGAGTGGGTATCGTAGCTTTGCGCATTCACGACAGAATCGACTCGTAAAAAAAGAGAAAATGGCCTTTTTGCCAGCCAGTCTTCAGCAGCCACCCTGATGATTTGTTTTGTTACGGTCCAAAAGAATTTATTTCTCTAAATTTTATTCGCGTATAGCGAAAATTGTGAACATTTGCAGGCCTAAATTAGATGACCTCTACATCAAACTATTCAAAATTTGAATTTCTCCTTTGTTTGACCGGAATTATTATTTGTGTAAATTTGAGTAGACGGTATCGTAAATAAAAATTGTTGGACAATGGTAAAGATTACAAGTTTCAACAGAAAACTCATGTTCTCTTCTACGAAGAAAACGTTGTAATGTACCAAAAACTGTAAATAGATGAAAGAGGCAAGTGTAGTGCATCGATATGAGGCTGGTTCAACACCCGAGTTCAAGTGCCGGGTTAGTATTCTAGCTATGGATGAGACATAGAAATGTTTTCGTGATAAAATTTTCATCTTGTGCGAGGTGAATAGTAAAGTGTCTCGTAACACTTACACTTTCAGACTTCTTTCTCTTCTCTTCTGACTGCTTTGCTGTTGAAAACATGTCAGCTTCTGCGTCATTATCCTCACCAGGACATGGGCTAAATCCCATAAGATCAGAAACTCTTAGCAAAATTGTTCATAATTTCAAGAAGGTAGTCAAATTTTATATATTCCTTTGTGTAGGACTGCTCTGTGGCGAATGCGAATCAACCACGTCAAATCCACGCTTACGGCTAGCCTTTGCATTATGATATCCGGCATCTTTGACCACCTAAGATGACCAGTGACATTTCTTGCAAAATGAAAGTTTTGTCTTTTGTTTCTAACCCGCCGTACCAATGGAAAGAGTTCATCACGTTTGGTAGAAAGTGAAGGCATTATCAAGCATAACTGAGCGGCAACTTCATTCACAGATACCTCGTGAAACGAAAGACCCTAGAAGGAAACGGTCACGGTAAACAAGGATTGAAAAAGTTTCTTTTCCAATATTTTTTGAAATAAAAGGTAGCTATCGCGCTACAAATCAACGAGAAGCAATTAACCTTGTCCGGTTTTCTCTTGGCATCAAATCGCCCATAAATTGCCGAGCATTTGCGGTACTCGGCAAGACGATTAGGCGTGTCGGCAGAAGTAGAAAGAAGATCGAGCACCTCTCTAAAAAAACGCTATGATAAACGATTGAATCCAATTCCTAGAGGGTTGCGATAGTTTTCCAAGATTTCGACAAAACATTTTGCCAGGAATGATTTGTTTATGCAAATGTAAGCAAGAAAAACTCCATATGCTGAAACATTATGTGTAAATGGCTTTCAATGCAGTCGTTTTGCAGAAAAAGGAATTATCGCTTTTTTTATTTTCGTTCTTGTGCTTCTGACAGATGTACAAAGCTTCTCTTCACCAAACAAATTGTGAAGGATATGATTTATAACAAATCTGATGGTCAGCATGATTTGCAACGAATGTATACAACAAACCCACTTTGAAATTCGCTTTTTATTTTGTACAAGTTTTGGTGGAAGTCGTGGGATTTTTTGACATATCGCCATTGCGCAGTTGGAAAGGCGACGAATCTGCGCGTCGGACAGAACTGGCAAATCGCACAAAGCAGTACCTAAGCAAAATTACAGTAATCCAACTAATTACATTTACATTTCAAGCAGATCATATCATAGGAAATGTGCTTACTTGGAATAATCTCCCAGGGACACGAAGTTTCCTCCTACTGAAACAGAGCTGGACGACCTGAAGATGCAACAGTGATGTGCAGACATATGGTTTCGAAAAATTTGAAGCTTTTTGTGGTTTTTGCTGCTATGTTTGAAATAGCTTATTACTAGGTTGTTGCAAAAGTTCTGTCCGATTTCCAGTGGCCTTGCGTTCAAAGCAACTATCTTCTAAGAGTTTCATTTTAACGCAGTTGAAGCCATGTGAAAGCGTTTTTCTTTTGCTCTTTACTGCTTATAAATCTCGATTGAATACGTTCACTACGAAATTTCAAGCTTTGAACAAGTTGCTAAGATACAGTAATTTTCAAGATGACTGTTTAAAAAGCGAATCTCTGTGGTGCACACAAAATTCCTTATGTGAAATTTTATAGCGAGTGATGGTGTAAAAGAGTTTAGAGTTATTCACAGAACTACTTTAAAAAAATTGCCTTGCTTCCCAATTTTGTCTTCAGAAATGTCTTCCCCTAGCTACTATACAAGAACAACAATCTAAAACAACGACAAGTGCTGTGATTCATATCGTATAGAGTGAGGCAGCAGGGACCATCAGCTATTTAGTTTTTTCGTCCGCGACCAGTTAAGAAAATCTGGCATCGTAAAGCCGACATAGTTGCGGAATTTTTTTTATTTAAAATTTAGAATTAAGAAGGCTACTTGATAATGGCAACTAAATGCGTCTGCCCATCCTTAGCGAGCATTGATACCAGATTGGAAATTCAAGAAAATTGCAAACTTTTTCAAACCGCGCCTATCTTGCCCTACCAGTTTTATATGTCCTATTGCAATAACCAGAATCTCGCTCTAACAGGATTTTTCTGTTAAAAAGTTTAATTCAAGTTGTAAGATTCCGCCCCATAGTAAAACCCCCTGCAGAGCAACTCAGCTAGGACGAGATTCAGTTGAACTTATGGCACCTCAGTCTAGCTTCCAACGAGCTGTTGATTTGGATGCGGAACGTTTCGTAAACATAAGAATCTTGCGTGTTATCAAACAGCTACAGCGCTTAGCAAGATTGGCTAAATGGGTAGGTGAATTGATTAGCCCGAATGACCTGTCTCGAGATTAGCTGACGGCAAATTCTTACTGCACCATCGGTCCCAAACGCAAATGAATGAACGCTATCAAGGATTTCGCCTATCAAATGAGATGACATAACTACTATTTTCGAAGAAAGTTGATGAACGAAATGGTTTGAAACATAAATCGATTAAAAGAAATGCATAAATCCCCGTTCTAAGCAGCAAACCTACAAAACTGCAAAGTGAGAAGGAAACTCGTTTCCTTGTTGCCTCTGCGAAATTAGTTGTCTATTAACCCTCACCTTTTTAGGCCCCGATGTTGTGCAGTTTTGCGCGTTCTTGTACCGCAAAAGAATGTGAGCCTAGGTGTCTCGTAGCTTACTCAAGGGCAATTTACAGGAATTTCGGCCGATTCACCGCTTCTGCACACTTTTCTCGTCACTTTAACTTACGAACTACCTTCAGCTTATTGGCAGTAGTCTGGAGTGACCGTAGCACTTAACTTCTTCTGACTGTTCAGCTTGCTGTTGAAGCATGGGAAGATGACACATGAGTTCAGCTTACAAAGTGCTTTCGATGAAATCGGAATACAAGGACATGCTGCATACCAAAAGGTTCGCCTTGACGAGCTGAGCATGAAGCTTTTT